CTGGGAACGTTTTAGCCTTGTCACCTCCCCCTCCCCTCTGGCAGCCGGGGTCCGAGCCCCAGGAAGGCTTGTGGAAAAGCTTCTGATCAAAACGGAGGGGCCACCCGAGGTATCCAGGGGACCCTCTCCTCAGGCCTCCTGAGTGGCAGGTTGAGGAGCCCCACAAACCTGGGGTTCTGGTCTTGGTCTCTCAGCCAGCCAGGCCTGACCTGGAGGACACAGGCCTTGACTCTCCCTCTTAGTTCTGGGGCGCCAGCCTCAACAGGTCAGAGGTGGGACCCTTGCACAGACTCTCTCCTCCTAGTGCCCTGGCCCCCAGAGTCCAGACTCCACAGCTGGCTAACAATGGCCTCCTGAGCCCTCTTCCGGTCCGGAACCCACGGCTCCCGTTCTGACATCCAGGGCAGGCAAGTGCTGTCACCCCGCATCTCAGCAAACAGCGAGGGAGACGGGCTCGGAGGCCAGAGCACGGGCAGCCCCCGGTGGACGATAGACGTGGGCTCTTCAGCTGCCTCAGCCCCCCTGGCCCACCCCGTGCTTGCTCCGTGCAGAGTGGGCCCTGACTGGGGCCTGCTGCTGACCCCTCGCGTCACTGACCGAGCGATGGTGCCTCCTGGAGCCTCGGTTTCTCGTTTGCAAAATAACTCACGCTCCTCTCCTCAGACACCGCTGCCAGAGTCAGCAAGTCAGCGATGGAAAGTGCTCTGAATGACGGGGACCACGGCGGTGGGACAGCACGGAGAGGGGGACAGCCGCATCTGCTGGCGGAGAGCTGGGTGCAACCCCACTGCTCACCAGCTGAGGACCCATGTCCACAGAGGGGGCGTCTGAAGGCCTTCACTCTGAAAGGGGCAACAGTGAAGACACTGCCCTAAACGTCATGTGACTGTGAGGATCAATAGTGCAGGTGACAGTGACCTGAAAGTGGCAGAGTGCTACTCAGGAGTAAGCCACAGCGGGACTGCCGTTACCGCACAAAACGAGGGAGGCCAACCTGGGCCCCGCGCTGTCCTCCCTCTCCTCTCTGTGCTCCCCTGCCCGAGAGCCCTGCTCCTCCAGGGCGGCCTCTCGGCCCCAATAGACCAGGTCAGGACAGAAACCAGCGCACCACGTGGATAAAACCTAGAGTCACACATCTAGCAAGACAGAGCAGGGATCGGAACTCAGGTCTGAGTGGCTCTGAACCGCTGCACTAATGTATGTTGTCTTCCGATCCGATACTTTCCCATAAAATGGTTGCTGTTCTAGAAAACCTTTTTCCTTTAGGAGCCCAGGGACAGGGAAGAGATGGAGAAGTCAGATCGACCAAGATGCTTCCCAGAGCTGCCTGGCTCGGGGAACCCCCTCGCACACCTGTGCCAGGCACTGTGTGAGGCTCAGCTGCCCCACACGTCCTTCTCCACTCGAAGGAAGGAAGGGCCCCGACTGAGTCGGCAAGTGTTGACTGAGGACCGTGAAACTGAGGGGCGGGCCTAAGCCACAGACAATCCAGTCCCGGAGCAAAGCACAGGGCATGCTTGGTGCTGCTGGACACGTTTCCAGCGGATAAAAGCAGAGCTCAGGCTGGGTTGCTGTCTCAGGCAGGATGGGTAGAAGGAGAGAGCAGGCCAGGAGACTTGGAGGTCCTATGACAACACCCAGGTCTGACAGGCCAGGACGGGGAGGATGGGCAGGATTAAGAAATGCTTGGACACAGTGTGGTGTTTAGCAGCAAGCTGTGGAGCCAGTGGCCTGGGTTCCCACCCAGCTGTGCTGCTCACTGGTTATGTAGTTCAGTGGCTTCCCAGGTGCTGGATTCCTGGCCTGGAGCAGGGGATGGAGAGTAACAGCGCCGCATCATGGTGCTGGTGAGATGAGAATTACACGCGCTCTTTGTCCGTGTCCAACCTGTGCTTAATGACAGTAACTATTAATGATGAGAGCACGTCTTTTTTTTTTTTTTTTTAAATATATTTGTATTGATTTCAGAGAGGAAGGGAGAGAGAGAGAGAGAGACACATCAATGATGAGAGAGAATCATTGATCGGCTGCCACCTGCACACCCCACACTGGGGATCCAGTCTGCAACCTGGGCATGTACCCTGACCGGGAATCGAACTGTGACCTCCTGGTTCATAGGTCGCCACTAAACCACTGAGCCATGCAGGCTGGGTGAGAATATTTCTAAAAAATATTAATCCCCCCCCGCCCCCCCCCGCACACACACACACATACCTCATGAAAAAGAAAAAAAGAGAAACCCAGCATGTATAGGCACTGTAGGTCTCTGGGCGGCATGGGTGTTTCTGGTTCTTGTTTCTCATATGTAATCATGGCCTGGCCACGGGCCAGCAGTCCCCCAGGAGCAGGACCCACGCATGGGACTGGGCACTGGTAGGCGCTCAGGCCTCCAGAACTTCAGGTCTACGACACCAATGTGCCAGGCTACCTACATGCGTGTGTGTATGAACAAAAGGAATAAGGCGCAGTTCTTGCCCTTGAAGGAGTCACAGTTTAGCGAGGGAGGGTCTGTGCTCCCAAACCCTCAGGGGCCCGCCTGCGTCTCCCCCAGGCTCACAGGCACAGCCCCCCCCCCCCCCTTCCTCATTTCCCTTCGGTCCCGGGCTCACAGGCAGCTCTGGCCCTGGCCTCTGGACAAGCTGGCGCTGGGCTGGACCCTGCATGGAGCACAGAGGTCTCCATCTTAAATGGAATGAAAAGCTGTTCGGTCCTGTGCCGGCCCCATGGGCCCCTTTCCCACGTCTGGCCCATTCTTATCAGACCCTCCTGATGGCGGGTCTATGAAATCTCCCCTGGAGGCGACAGTGGGTCCCTGGACTGACCTTGTCCTGTGTGTTTGATCAGCTGTTTGTGGCTCGAGCCAGGGGAACCAGAGCGGGAAGAGCCAGCAGGAGTGGTGTTTGGTCAAAGCAGCCGGGAGCTGGGCCGCTAGCTGCTCCTAGCCTTCCACTAATCTCCCTAGAAGGACAGAGAGGAGGGTGGGTGGACAGACCAGCTCACGGGTGACTTGGGGGAGAGGAGGGTGTGTGGACAGACCAGCCCACGGGTGACTTGGGGGAGAGGAGGGTGTGTGGACAGACCAGCCCACGGGTGACTTGGGGGAGAGGAGGGTGTGTGGACAGACCAGCCCACGGGTGACTTGGGGGAGAGGAGGGTGTGTGGACAGACCAGCCCACAGGTGACTTGGGGGACAGTATGGCTGGCGGGGGGGTGGGGGGGCGCAGAGGGCGGGGATGGAGAAGTTGGGTTCTCCCTGAGTGGCCACAAAGGTAAGCGAGGGAAGCACTGTGTGGTCCCGCAGAGCAGCAGCATCTACTAAGCACCAAGCGCACTGTCTGGGCCAAGTATTTGGGGACAGTGTCTTCGTGGACAGGGGACCTGTGGCCTGGCTCACTGGGCGACAGGGCAGAAGACAGAGGTGCACAGGAAGGAAGGAGCTTGCTGATGCCTCGGTCCTCGGTCATTTCCTAACCAAGGTGATGGCTCTTGGCCTCAGACAAGTAAGTTACTTTGCACACCACACGCATCCCGAATGCAAGCTCACGGCGGGTACGAGAAACAGTGAATGGGACGCTCCGGCGGCAAGGCCAGAGGCCATCCGCACTCAGTGCTCCGTTTCCCGTGCCCTGGCTGGGTGTGTCCCCGCCTGACACTGCGTCACGTACACATGGCCCCTCAACGGTGGTGCCCGGGGCTGGGTCCCTGCGCCAACCCCTCGCGCCCATTAGTTCTGGCCTGGGACACAGAGCTGTTCGCTTGCCTGGGTCTCGAATGCCCCTGTGGCTCATCCAGGCCCTCAGCCTCAGGGCGTGAGGCTTCCTCCTCCCCGCCGGCCTCCCTCCCAGGCCACTGGAAAGTACCTGGAGGTGGACAGGCATCCTGTACGGGGCATCTACACTCCAGTGGGCATTTCACAAACGCCGACCTTCCTCCTCACCATCACGGTGAGGAGCGACTCGCCCAAGGTCATCGCCTAGTCAGAGGTGGGCTGGGGAGCTCGGAGTCCAGGCCCCAGGTGACCGGATCACCCGGGACCCGCCGGCCCATTTCCCACCTCTGCTCAGTCCTCCTGGCTTCCCCTCTGCGGTCACCTTCACGCTGGAGCCAGCTGCACGCTGCAATTCCCCGCTCCTCGGCCGCTCTCAGGATTACAGCCTAGAAACCACAGCGCCAGCCCCTCTCCCAGCACTGCTTAGGGGGAGGGCATTCGTGGGCTCTGGGCAAGTGCATTGGGCGGGCTACTCCAGGAGCCCCCCCCCCCCCCCCCCCGTGTGGGGTGGGCAATGCTGGCCTGAGCTGGGGCTGCAGGCTAGACCCCGCCCCTGGCCTCACACCTGGATCTAACTGCAGAGACCACCACAGCCTCTCCGCGTCTGCCTCTCGTTTCCTTGTTGGCTGCCAGCAACGTGACATTTCCAGCTTCACCACAAAAGGTTTCTGCTTATTTTAGTCACCTGCTCAGCCCTTTATGCTTCAGGGGCAGTTGAGGTTCCAGAGATAAATGAGAAGCGGTGGGTGTTACAAGGGTCCCTCGGGATGCGCAGAGGTTGGAAGAGGCACGTAAGCGTGAAGGAACCAACACTCTGCTCGGTGCTAGAAACTGCAGGGAATGGCTGGCCTGTGGGAAGGACTTGATTAATAACAACTACCATCTTCTACACTAAATTCATTAAGTCCAGGCTTTCAACCCACGCGACGAGTCTGTGGGGTAGACATAATAATTCCCCCATTTACAGATGAAGCCAGAGGAGGGAGCTCAGAAGGGGCTCGCCAGTCACACGGTCAGCACGTGGCACAGCGGGGTGAGCCAGGTCTGACCCTGCACCACACTGGCTCCTGGGAAAGAGCATTTGGGAAAGGAGACTCCACAGGGCAGGTGAGCGCGCCCCCACCCACCTCCGCTAGCGAGGCCTGAAGGCGCACCGAGCCCCTAGGAGGCCAGGCCCATCCAGCCTGTTCGACAGCTGCCCAGAGCCACAGAAATCATCTATATCATCACGTTTTTCAAGGTACATATTTTATTTTTATAGACTAGTGCAAGGCGAGCACGAACGTTTGTAATCCTATTGATACAGCATCGCGTGCTGCTTAGTTGTCCTGATCATGGGTGGGGCTGGCCTGGTGAGGGAGACGACAAACATTTCTGTGATTTGGAAGCCCCTAAATCACATTAGCCCGGGGGGAACAGTTCTCCTCAACACGTCATCACCAAAGCACAGGTAGTTTCTGTGCGTATAGGCTGAGTTGATGGTGTAGAAGTTTCTGAGTTCTGACTGTGCTTCTGAGCCTTTGGCCCAAGTCCTACCAGTCCCAAGGTTTTCCATGGCAAACAGTTTCAAAACAGTTACCAACTTGCCTTCACACTCCTTTCAACCCCAAGTCCTCCTTTTTCTCCTACTGCCCACGGTCCCTGGGATGCACTGGGCCACACAGAGCAGGCCTGGCTGCTGAATTCTTTGGGGAGGACTGATGAAGACATGCCAGCATTTTCTCCATCACTGTCCAGCTTTTTAGCTCCAGTGTTATAGAAACATTGCTTGTAAGAACCACTCAATGTAAGGTGAGCAGTTTCCTCCATCCTTGGTCACATCAGATTTAAAGGCACATCCCTCCCACCTCCTTAGTCTGCCACCAGCCTGTGGTGCCACATTGCCTGGGTGAGAGAGGAACTCTTAGGGCCGCCTCATCTCGACCTGGGAGAGTTCCTCACTAGCCCAGGTGCAGAGAACGGGGCTGGTCTCCCATTCATCCTCAGCCCCTCTCGGGCCCTCCCTGGGGCGAGGCTGATGTGTTCCACTGTCAGCAGGAGGAGAGTCTGAAGCAACCCCAGGGAGGGCTGCAATCTCCAGGGAACCCAGGACTCACACTGCAGACCATGAAGACATGGCCTTAGTTTTCCAAACACAACACTCCTGAGACAGGAGATGGGCTTTATAAAATAGATGAGGAAACACCTTCTTTGCCCCTGGGCTGCCCCTCTGGCCTCAGGCTCTGCTCAGGGGCGGGGACATCTCCCTACGGCCATCCTGCTCCTGAACCATCTACACGCTTCTCACTTACCTGGATGGTAAGTCCTGTCCCTAAGTGGCTCCCATCACTCCCACCGAATTAGACTCCCACTCGCAGCCTGCCTGCCTGTCCTCTCCAGCTGTCTCAGGAGCTCTGGGAGCCACCGACTCCTCCAGACCACCGCAAATGCCCCGCGTTCAGCTGGAGGCCATAGGCAGCACCCACAGCAACGAGGCAGAGAAGACCACTGCCAAGAAGCAAGTCAGTGAGCTGGACGAGGCCACGATAACAGTGTCCTCTGTGGCAGTAACTCAGAAGGTCTCTCTGGCAGAAGTGGGGGAAAGAATAAAATGGCCAGCTAGAGCTAGAAAAGTTTTTCTACAATAAAATCACACCTGGCATCTCTAGAGAGGGAGAGTGTAAGGTCACTGCCAATGCCGCATCTTGCAAAGGTCCCCTCGGAGCAGAGACTAAACCCAGGATGGCCCTTCCTCATCCCCGACGAGAATGAGCACAAGGCCGTGCCCGACACGGGTGCCCCGGTGAGTCCGACAGCAGCTGTCAGTCTGGCGTCCGTGTAGCTCCCAGCACGGCGTGTCCTGCCACAGCCCGGCTCCATCAGAAATTAAGAAAGGGGTTCTCAGCACCGGAAAGGATCCGAACGTGAGTTTAAAACATGTACCTTTTTTATGCGGAAGACTGTGTAAAAGGAGAAACCACTCTCTCCTGCAGGCCCTCGGCAATTCCTTTTCATCCGTGTTTTGGCTGATGTCCTGAGGACACGCAGCTCCCAGCCGCAGCCTGTGGCTCTGAGGAGCTGTGTCCTCATCGCTGGGCTGGGCCTCAGGCGCTGTAAGTACAGGCCACTCCACTCTTTCGGTGGGTTTATCTGGTGTCAGCGGGAGTCAGTGCCATTTCGCCACTTGCAGATGGAGAGCGCTCCCGGGCTGACAGCTCACAGGTGAAAACCTTAAGGAGACAGGCAGGCTTGGCAGAAGCTGTGAAGGTTTCACGTGGAGGCGAAGTCTCAAAGGTTTGAGCACCATCTTCTGGTCAGTTTTTGGCTTCTGAGGCCGACTTGCCTTTGAAAACATCATTGACTTCAGAATGAAGACCCCTGAGCTGACCAGCTCCAGCGATTTGCACATCACAACGAGGACACCCTGGAGGCAGGAGTATGGGTGGAGGGCCCAGACAGGCGCTCACTGCCTGCACAGGCCCTGGCCCACGAACATACTGGTCAGTGTTAAGGGCCCACCTCTGCCTTTCCAGCAGTGCGTGGTGGCAATAAAAGCCTGTCCCGTGACCAACGTGGACCCTTTATCCCTGCTTGCCCCTGGCGATGTGAAATGTGCTTGGAAAGGGGTAGGCTAGTCTTCTGCCACCTCGAGCTTGAAGGCCAGTGATCACATTGGGCACTGCCCTCTGCAGGGGGGCAAGCCCCGAGGTGGCAGGGAGCCTGCCTGTGTGTAAACACTGCACTAGCAGACCAACCTCCTGGCATGGAGGAAAGGAAGATAAATGCTAGTCATTCTCTCCAAATGGCGGGGACCTATATCCATCTAATTGCACTTCATAATGGACTCCACAACCCATTAATTATCAGATTACATGTTAGGAACGGAAATAAAAAGCCTGGTGCGATTCAGACTCCAAAGGATTCTTGACCTGCAGAAGCAGTGGCAGCCTGGAAGAGGCAGACAGCAGGCCAACACCCAGCGTGGAGGACGGTGGCAGGAGGCAGCGCCGGGGCGGTCACGGGCACTGCTCCACCTGGCGTGGGTTGTGAGCTCTATTACATGCTCCAGAGGGAGGGGCACGGCTCCAGGTCGGGCAGAAGGCAGGCGTTGACAGGGAAGGGGATTGGGCCACGGGGAAGGCTGAGGCTCAGCCTTCAGTACAGAGCACCGCGAAGCTCCGGGAGGGGCAGGGACGGCTTTGCAGTCGATGGCCTCCACTGAACACGTCCAGCAGGAACTCTCCCAAGGCTTCGCTTGCGGAAGGGCTGACGGCACTGCCCGGGTGGGAGTCCCAGGTAGAGGAGGCCTTGCTGTTCACAGGCTGCTCCTGTCCATAGCCAGCAGCTGGGGGGATGAGAGATGGGAGGAAGGGGCCAAGTGTGCTCAAGACTGGGGGCCCCTGGATGGTCCGTGGGTGCTTTTCTCTCATTCTTACGTGGGCAGAAGGCACTGACAGCATCTGCAGCCCCACACCTGCCATTCTGCGCAGAGGGCTGCGGGCTCCTGGCACCTCTCTGCTTACCTGGTCACCAGCTCCTGCCCATGGCTTTCCAACTCTCTTTCAGAAGCTATGCTCTGCTGAGGGATGGACAGTGTCCCGGAGGCCACGGCCAGCCTGTGGGAGGGCGGTGGGTTGGCACTGTTGGTGCTGTGAGAATAATGACACGTCTTCCATCTATTTTCCAGGTGAGACCATTTTGGTTGGTGCTGGGCTAAGATGCTCATCATGCAGGACAGCCAGGGACGGAGAGCAAAGGGCCCGCCGTGGAGCTTTCTCTCTGCTGCAAGCGCAGGCCCCTTCACCGATGGGCAGCCACTCATTTGGCCTCACCACAGATCAGGGTCACGGTCCCGTCCAGCAGATCCTCCACGGTCACCGCCACGAGCTCAGAGCTGGTCTGAGACGTCTGCGAGTCCGGCAACGTCACAAACACCTGCGATCCAGCAAGCTGGGTCTCCTCCAAAGTGATCACCTGCTCTGCTGAGGTGGCCGGCTCCGGGGTTTGGATCACCTGAAAGGAAAAGACCATGAGGCTCTGGGCAGGGTCCACCGTTAGCTCCCCAGAATTTACATGGTTTCCATCTCAGCTGTAATGATGATATTTATGTTTTCACCTGAGGAGAGCAATTACACGTGCCTAATGGGAAGAGGCAAATCTTACACACCAGTGATGCAAAAGAGAGGCAGGCAAACAATTTAAATAACCGTGTGTTAAATTGCTATAATTTAGCTCAGTATGCCATCTCAGGGCCCGGACTCTGATTACACACCAGCTCGGCTTTTCACACTGGGCCTTCCCGTCTTGACGATTACACTGCAGAGTAAGAGCCATGCGAAAGGAATGCGACGAAGGTGTCAGCTTCATGCTAGAACCGCGGACACTGGAATGATTTGCCGACAGTGGTGTTTCTGGACCTGATCAGGCTAAGAGCCTCCTGTGGCTCCATGGCTACAGAGCGAGTGGATGAAGTGTGGCTTCTGTCAACTCACTCATTTGGCTCACCAGGCTGGCAGGCAGGCACCTTCCCACCCTCCACAAGCCACATACCCCTTCCACGTCGGCATCTGTTAAAGATGGCCTTCCTGTCGCAGGGAGAACTAGTCTGTGCTGAGTACACCCAGTTCCTGCTGGGACCTCTGCCCCTGCTATTTTAAGCCAGAGTGCCCACGGGGCATGGGTACCATGGCTCTTGAGAACAAGCTTAGAGTGGGGAGCTGGGCACTAGATAAAAGTGGGCAGCTGTGGGACAGCCCAGCTCAGCCACGTCTCTGTGCTGCTGGGAGTGGAGAGGCCAACTGTGATGAGCAACCAAAAATCGGCCGGAGAGTGGTTTTAAGCCGTGTGTTCTTTCTCTTTCTCTCAGCAATGGGCTCTTCCCAGAGGCCATCTTACCAAGAATCCGAACAGGTGAGAACACTAAAAGCAGAGCCCTCTGGAATAAGGCACGAGAGGCACCCAGAGGCCTGCCCCTTGCCTTGCCCTCGCACCCTGGAGGCTGTAGAACACGGCTCACAGATGGTGCCCCGGAGGCTGGACGGCTGTGCCATCAGCCTGCAGCTCCTCTCCAGTCCCCCCACAAATTCCTGCCAGTACTCTGAGGGGAGCTGCTTTTCCTTTCTGCCCCCTTCTTGAAGAAGACGAGAAGAACAATGAAAGGGGGCGGGAGCAAGCTTGGCCTCAACACATATTAGGAGGTGCTTCCCACCCGGTAAAGGCGAAAGGCCCATGTGCCCACGTGTGTCTGCGCCAGCCAGAGGAGCTCTCAGGGTGAAGGAGCTCCCAACAAAGATCTCCCCACCTCTCGAGGCTCCTGCAGCTCTCACCACATCCCACGGTGCCTCCCAAGAGGCGGGAAGTGCGTGAATCGGGAGAGCCGCCTAGGTGGTTCCGCTTTTGGAAATTCTTGTTCTTGGCTCCTGCTACTTAGGGGCATCTCGCATGTGGCCACCAGGACACTAGAACTTTCTGTTCTGTTTGGCAAGAAGTCCAGAGAGATTCTGACAGAACCTGTATCGCTTACAGGACCTCTGAGAGCCCCAGAGAGAGAGGCTGGTGTTGGGAGGGAGAGACCCCTAGAGAAGCCTTAGGAACCCCATGCTAGCACCCCCGTGTCTGAGTCACCTGCACCACCTGCGAGGCTGCTGCCTGGGTCTCAGTGCCCGTCACCTTTGGGTGCTCCGATTCCAGGTGACCCTCCAGCTGGGCCTGGGAGGTGAAGAGCTCCCCACAGAGCTCACAGGGAAAGGTGCTCTCCGACTGCTTGAAGTGCTCCGTGGTGACGTGGTGCTGCAGTGCTCCGGGGAAGCGGAAGGTGGCTGCACAGTACAAGCACCTGAATGGCTGCGACCCTAGAGGCAGGAGACAAGGATGAGCTGTGGGTGAAATGGCTGAGAGACAAGGGCAGGGAGAGGAAGGTGCAGTGAGGAACACGCTCAAAGGCAGACCTGGGTTCTGTGGGCCTGAAGCCTCTGTGAACCACAGCTTCAGTAGCCTGGGTTCAGGCTAAACCGCCTCTGCGGATGCCTGCTGTTCATTCAGCGGCAGGGAAGGTGCTGCCGACATTGTATGTCGTCAATTCTAGGAAGCATGTATTAACATCTCTGAAATGGATTCAATGGCATTTAACGACACTACGGGTGCGGTGGCAGTCGGGCGTCACTGTCAGCCACTGCACGAAGAACATCGAAACCAGATGAAGTCCAGCGCCAGGACCTGCACAGTGTGTGCCCAGGGCCTGGAAGAAAATTCCTAAGACAGGAGCAGTGCATGTCTTTCACTGACTGGAACCCAAAGGCTTAGGAGAGAGGAGGCGAGGGGTGAGTTCTCAGACATCCCCTAAGCGGGAATGAAAAATAAACCAGTTTCCCATGGTGCTCAACAGACCATAGCCAGAGGCCTCACTACGTGCTCCACCCAGCACTCCCGACGGCAGTTTACCACCATGTGGAATAACACGCACGTCAACAATCTGAGTTGAAAGCTACTCTGCGAAGCTGGAATCTGACCTTAATTTACTTCTTCTGTTTCCCTTTTTATATATACATAAGAATGCATAAAAATCTATGTCAAATTAAGTCCAAAACAGCACTTAGAATAATCTGTAAGTTCTAAGTGACAAGGAAGCAGAGTTTAATTAGCAGCTGCTTTTCTTTCTTAATGGTTCATTCTTTTTAAAAGGTGCATCTTAAACTGGCATATTAGATTTAATGAGACATAGCAGTAACAAGGACAATCACAGGTCATGGTTACAGGATGCTGACTGCTGCCAGGCCCCTATGTGTATTTTGTCTACTGGCATATTCAATCCTTACAGTTACCTGATGAGGTAGGAATACACCTGTCCCCGTTTTATGGATGAGGAAACTGAGGCGCAGGTAGCGAGGCTACTTGGCCTGGGTTGCACAGCTGTGAACAGTGGAGAGGAGTGTCTCCGCTGGGCAGGGCAGCTCAACCGCATCCCCAGGGCACTGACCTGAGTGCTGACACTTGATGTGAACTTGAAGCAAAGCTGGCGTGGGGAAGATCTCCTTACACTGCTCACATTCATGGAACTTCATATCTGCAAAGCACACAGGGAAGAACAAAAGGATGGCTCCCTATGGCTGGACAGTGACAGGGCTGGGGCGGGGGTGACGCCTAATACCGAGCAGGCACCTACCAAGTGCCAAGAACCTTCCACCTATGACATATCGTGCACTCTAGTGGTGAAGACGCCAGGTCTGGGTCCAGACGGCCTAGACCAGGGGTGGGCAAACTTTTTGACTCGAGGGCCACAATGGGTTCTTAAACTGGACTCAGAAGAAGGAGCTGCGGCCGTGTTTCCCGACGTTGCCATGTTAACACTGCTGCTGGTGAAGGAGCGGAGGGGAGAGCAAGAGAACCCTCCGCTCTTTCGGCTCCGCGGGCCGGATAGAACAGCCGAACGGGCCGGATCCGGCCCGAGGGCCATAGTTTGCCCACGGCTGGCCTAGACGCAGGTGGTTGTGAGGATTAAAGGACAAAATACATGTGGAGTGCTTAGCATAGTGCCTTGCACATAGGACATGCTTCAGAACTGCTGGCTGTTGTGATTATCCCCAAATTCACCTGCAAGGTGGGTATTAATTACGGGCATTCTGAAGAGAAGGAAGCAGGCTCAGAAAGGAGAAGTCGCCTGACAAGGGCAGGCAAGCTGATCAGTGCTGGTCAGGATTTCCCCCCAGGCCTGTCTGCACCAGAGCCGCCCTTGCTGTGTGCTGTGGCTGAGTGTAAGCTGGTAGCAGCTTACACTGCCCTCCATCTCTGGGTTGGAGAACTACTGCCACTCAGGCTGCTGTTACTGGGCAGCAGGGAAGGCACCCTTCAGGGGTGCTGGGAGAACGAAGGTGATTACCATCGCACCCTACTCTAGCCCTGAGGTGGGGCTCGGGGTAAACCCAGGATCCACATCCCTAAGCCTCTCTGCTCCCTGCCTCTGGCACTGCTCACCTGCGTGCTCTGTTTTGATGTGCTTCTTGTGTTCAATGGTGTTGGAAAAGGTTTTGTCACACGAGCTGCACTGGAGTGATGAGAACTTAGAAGATCGATGGTTCTGAGCAGCAAACACGTCAGGGTGGTGGGTCCGATTGTGGTACCACAGACCAGACAGTTGCTGCAAGGAATTTGGCAAGTGTTCAGTTTCAGGATGTTCCAGCAAGCGGAGAGCTCATAAAGCCCTCAGGCGAGAGGGAAACGGCTCTCAGGTCAGCGGTGGGTCTGGACTTCCACTCGTCCCTGCCACCGAGTGCTGACCTGGCAGAGGCTAGTGTTGTGGGAAGAGGCACCACCACGGGGCAGGCTCAGCAGGACATTCACTCCTCACCACAAGCCCATGAGGGAGGAGTTAGAATCTTTTCTGTGAGGCGGAGGCTAAGGCACAGAGGGGTCAAATGACTTGCCCAGGATCACACGATTAGTAAGTATCAGGAGCAAGATTCAAATCCTGGTGTCTGTTCTTCCCCCTGAGCCGTGTCTCACTGCTGCCCGGTGCCCAGGTGCAGGGGACCCCTCCTTCCTGGGTTCGGAGCAGCACCGGGACTCTCCCCACAATCCCACGGTTTCCTAGGGACCAAGCCCAGGCCTTCCTCAGCTCTGCACTGTAATGTCCCAGCACAAGGCTTGGTACAAAGTCAACATCCCAATCTCTGTGGAACTGCAATGAGCGGCTGGGCTTCTCTCCATAACCTACATCTTACACAGGCCAGCAAGGACCCTTCTCTTCCCTGTGCTCTTAGGTTTCCATACGTGTGGTTTCTTTTCAGTTCTCTATGGAGTTTCCCTTTAATTACATACCAAATTCTAAGGTAAAAAGCAGAGCCCTTCCCTGGGAGTTAAAAATAATTGTCCTAAACAAAATATTTCTAGGCAGCGTTACAGGCCCGACTGCCATTCTCATGTCCCTCCACACTCGGGTCAACAGAGTCTAAAGAATGTGAGTGCCCTGGAGAAAGCAGCACCCAGGTCAGAGGGTGGGAACTCGGCTCCATTTAGAGCCCCCCCCCCCCCCCCCCCGCCTCCCGTATTACTCCCACCAGATCACCTTAGAGAATCTGCATTAGTACAAGCTGCATCTTCACGAGAAGCAGCCAAGTCGACCCACCTGGAGACCGATGTGCTCCACAAACCAGACCAAGGGGAGAGAAGCCGAGGGACAGGGGCGAGCGCCCAGGGAACCTGCGGTCACCTGGTAGGCCTTGTTGCAGATCCCGCAGCTGAAGGGCTTCCCTCCAACGTGCGTCACCATGTGGCGCTCCAGCATGGAGGGGGCGCTGAAGATCTTCCCACACGTAGGGCAGGCGTGGTACTCCTTGGAGTGCACCTCGTGGATGTGCTTGCGGTGATCCTGCAGAGTGGAGAAGCTCATCCGGCACTTCTTGCAGTCATACGGATCTTCTATGTCTGGTTCCATGAGGGATGTCCATGAGGAAGGGGTGGGAAAAAACACAGGCAGTGGTCAGTGAGGTGTGGGTGGCCGTGTGTGCACAGTTCCAGGTACAAGACTTTGTTTAGAGGTCATGCAAGGTCACAGGCTCCAAGGACCAGAAGTCAGTACAGTGATCACCTGACTATCCTAGCTTCATCCCGGGAGGTGGGATTCCTCCACAGCTTCTGGATTAACCATCTCTGCAATCAAACAGTTCCTGCAAGTCCTCACTTCACATCTTACAAGTTAAAGTCTGTTTTACTGCTTTCCAGGATGTACTGCTCTCCCTGGCTTGTAGTGGGCATTTCTGTTTTCTACTTCTCCCTAGAGATTTCCGACATACTCCCCAGAGCATCACTATTTCCTTTGCTGTTAGTCGTATGAATGACAGGAGGAATGCTCCCTTGCTCCCCATTTTAGACTTGATAATAAAAACACTTTCATAGGTAATGTTTAATGACACAGTGTGACAGGCACGTTCTCAGTGCCTTGTATATGTTAACCCACTTAATCCTTCCAACAACCCTGTGAGTAGGTTCTAGTCTCAGTCCTATTCTACAAAGGAGGGAAGTCACGGCTTAGAGAGTGCGGGCGGCACAAGCAGGAAATGGCTGAAGTAGGTAACGACCCAGAGTGGGGCCCAGCTCTGGCAGAGTGATAATTTGTTATGACTGTCACATGTCTGGGGCCTTGATTGGGGCCCAGCTCTGGTAGAGTGACAATTCTGTTATGATTGTCAAATGTCTTCTCAAGGCCAGGTCTGTGCCGAATGCCCGTCAGTCACAGCCTCAGTACATACTGTGAAAGGTGTGCAGGTGGATGGAGAGGCCATTGGCCTGCCGGAAGCCCTTGCCACAGTCCCTGCAGACATAGGGCTTGTCCCCGGTGTGGGTCCTCACGTGGCGGGACAGCTCGATGGACTGGGCAAACACAGCATCACAGTACTGGCACGCGTACATTTTTCCTGGAAATACACATGCGTTTATTAGAGCCGGCACTAAACATGAGGCAATTTGCAATACGATGGGTGAGAGCCTGAGCCATCCCATCAGAGGATGCCTCATAAACACAGCTGATAAACAGCGGTGTCAGTGTGGTCTCCCCGCTGAGGAACAAGGACAGAGCTCTCACCACTCAGATTACCCATCTTTTAACCAGGCCACCACAAATATGGCAGAACTCATTCCACAGGCAGGAAACAGATATATCTGGGTGTCCAGAAACCCCCAAGTCTGGACCCCCTGAACGTATTCAGTATGGAACTGCAGCAGCACATAAAGGTGAGACTCAAAGCTTCTCCCCATTGGTTATAGTTATAAGTTACAAGTCACCTGGCTTCTCTATTTTCTCACTCTGACAAATGTTAGCCTCGTAAGACCCATTTTGGACTTTTAACCTCCGAAGCGGTAAGATGATACATTCTTGTTGTTTTAAGCCACTGTTTGTAATACACAGTTTGCATAAAACCAAAGCCCTTACCTTGGTGTATAAGACCCTGCAAGGTTGGCCTCTGGCGACCTCTCTGACTGCATCTCTCAGCACTCACTCGTTTATTCTGCTTCGGCCCCTTCTAGTTCCTTTGGTCTCTCAAACAGCTCAGCTCATTCCTGCGTGGGATGCTTTTCTCCTCAAGCTTCTGCTGGTTCCATCTCTCACTTCATTCAGGTTTCTACTCAATTCTCAGCTCTCAGAGGCCTTTTCTGATTAAATAAACAGGCCCCTCCCCACCCGTCCTCTTGCTGCTTACCCTGCCTTATTTCTCTTCACACAACGACCACTACCCGAATTTATATTACACACTTATTTGTTTATGGTCTGCTTTACCGAGAGGGGAGTATACAGTTACACTGTCCCCAGGGCCTGCAGCCGGGCTCAAGAAATTCATTTACTCAGTGTTTACTGAGTGTCTTCCATCGCTAAGCAATGAAACAAAAAGACTAACAGCACTGCCCTCATAAAGCTTTCATTCTAACGGGGGAGACTCACTCTAAGCAATGACTAAGGTAGGTAATATATCGTATGACAAGCACCATGGAGAAAAATAACGCGGGAACTGGGCTGGGTCCTTGAGATTCCACACAGGTGGTCAGGAGAAGTGAGGTGAAGAGCCTTTTTGGAATTTTGAGCAGAGAGCGACAGGATATGGTTTAGTTTCAAAAGGACCACCCTGCCTGTATACTGAGAGCACTGTCCAGGGGGAGGGGGAGAGGAGAGCAGTTAGGAGGCTACGGCAATCCAGGCGAGATGCAGACAGCATTAGCACTTCCATATAAATGCTCCAAACTATGCAGAATCCTTGGAGAAGGCTCCTCCCCTCCAACCCGACCAGAAACCCCCACGTTCTCCTCCCGGATCTCCGGGTATTGTTGGGTATCACACCACCGGTGACTGCACTGTCACTCTCTCTACACTAGACACACGCTGAGCCACCAGCTCTGTGAGCAAAGGATCCAGCTTAGTCACTCAGCATCCACCACTGCCCGATGCACAGTAGGTGCTCCACCAAGGCCTGTCCCATGCTCCAAGTTCACCTTAAAGTCCAGGGAATTCCTGGCTTTATGTAAATTCTGACTATAAAGTCATAGCACTGCGTTAGTCAGCCTCCCCTAAGAATCATTCACCAGAGCATTTACATGCCTGTGCACATGTGTTCCTAGTCCTCTGTGTGCCTAGAGATTTTACATTCTGTTCTGTTTTTAATCTTCTTGAGTTATAGATCCTAATTCCAAGTGGGTTTTCAGGCAGCTCACACAATTAAAGTGTCAGGAGAATGAAGAAATTCTTGCCCAGACCGTGTGGCTCAGTGGTTAAGCGGTGACCTATGAATCAGGTCATGGTTTGATTCCCAGTCAGGGCACGTGCCTGGGTTGTGGCTCAATCCCCATGTGGGGCATGCAGGAGGCAGCTGATCAATGATTCCCTCTCATCATTGATGTTTCTATCCCTCTTTCCTTCTCCCTTCTTCTCTCTGAAATCAATAAAAACATAAAAAAACAAAAAATTCCCTATGCCTCACCTTCTGAATGCTTCTTCTTGGTGTGGTAGGCCAGGGCCGAGGCCTGGGTGAAGGTCATGAGGCAGTGCTTGCACATGAACGGGCGGTCCCCAGTGTGGAGGCGGAGGTGGTTCTTCAGGGTAGAATTGGCTGCAAACTTTGCCCCACACTCTTCGCAGGAGAAAGGCTTCTCGTCAAAGTGCTCAGTCAGCTTGTGGTACTGCATGCCTGGGGAGGCCGGCCAGGGACCGAGAGATACCAGTCATTGTTCCATGACGCTACCTCGTATCCAGTGTCAGGTACACCCCAACATGCTTCAGGCCAGGACTCATGAGGAAGCCCCGCATGAACCACAGACACCAGGTCATATGTGCTTTGACCTCACACGGCCATGCTGCCCATCTGCCCAGCACTCCGAAAGTCACCTCAGTCCCACTCATGGTTCCATCAGGCATGAAGGGTCCTAAGTTTTTCTTTCCTATCCTCTCTCTCCTTCTCTAAAACAGGACCCAGTCACCCAGAAAGAGTGAAACAAAACTCACTGTTATGTTTCATTAGGTTTACCCAACATCTGGGGCAAGGGAAAACAATTCTGACTATGCCCCCATGGTTTCTCTTTTTTATTATCCAGATTCAAGTGATGCATACAAGCCTAAGAGTCAGATGTTAAAATAGTTGGTTATCATTATGAATAACACCTACAATTTACTAAGTACTAACTTAAATGTAGGTACTGTACTAGGTGTTTAGCTATATTATCTTAAATCTTCATAACAATCTAAAAAAGTAGGTGGAATCAGGTTGCCTACTGATGGGGAAATTAAAGTTCAGAGAACAGATTCCAAAGCTCATGCTCTTCTCGAAACACCACCTGCCTCTGTAGGGATCTGCTGTTTTCTAAGCCCATCACCGGCCCTGAATGCATACAACCGGGAGCCAGGCCTGGAGTCCAGACCACAGCATCCAGAATGCTCATGCCCAGTTCCTTCGCCCTCCTGAACGTACCTGAGGCATGAGCAAATTCTCTTCCACAGAGGTCACAGGTCACTGGAAGCCTCTTTTTCTTCTTCTTGGGGACGTCAGCCTCTCCCCCTGCACCATGGGCCTCCAGCTGATGCTTCTCCAGCTCTTTCTTAGAATCCTTGGTCTCATTACACTCCTTACACTGCACCTGCTTGCTCTTGGCCACCCGGCAGCGCTTCATGTGCACCTTCAGGCGGCAGTAGAAATGGAAGCTCTTGTCACAGGCCTTACACACAAAGCTCTTCTTGGCAGAGTCAGGGGAGGCAGAAGTATCTTTCTCTTGTTCTGGCAAGGAACGAGCCTCCCCTTGGTCGTTCTGCTTCCGGGACTGGCAGTCTTCTTCAATGGGCTCAGCTGCCTTTGCAGCAGCTTTGTTGTTGGCTTCCAGGTGAAATTTATTACTCACCTTCCACCTGTCCTTCTCTCCATTTTCCTGAGTAAGGAAACCTGCATAGGAGAGAAATCTCATGGCTCTAAGTTTCTCCTTTGCTCCCTAACTTTCCTTCTTAGAGGAGAATGCAGACTAATTGAGATCCTCAGAAAATTCTGAAACAATATCATCTTTACTTGATTATCACAAAGAGTATCATTTTGCATCTATGTCTATGACTTTTCTAAGTACTGAGAGCATGTAAAATCCTATATAATAAAAGCTTAGGTGGCGTCATGCCCTCGTGTGACGTTGTCACAAGATGGCCAGCAGAGGAGGGCAGTTGGGGGCGACCAGGCCAGCAGGGGGAGGGCAGTTGGGGGCGACCAGGCCAGCAGGGGGAGGGCAGTTGGCGGGGACCAGGCCTGCAGGGGAGGGCAGTTAGGGGCAACCAGGCTGGCAAGGGAGGGCATTTAGAGGCCACCAGGCCGGCAGGGGAGGACAGTTGGGGATGATCAGGACAGCAGGGGAGCAGGGGAACAGTTAGGCATCAATCGGGCCAGCAGGGGAGCGGTTAGGGGCAATTAGGCAGACAGGAAGGCAGGTGAGCAGTTAGGAGCCAGCAGTGCCGGATTGTGAGAGGGATGTCCGATTGGAGAAGGTGCAGGCCAGGCTGAGGGATACCCCCACCCCCACCTCCCCATGCATGAATTTCGTGCACCAGGCCTCTAGTAAATAAGGCGGCTATGGATGAACTCTCACATGAACTGCTGCCTCTTCTCTCCAATATGGAAACCCCTGGGGGCCTGACAGGACCCCACCCACCCACCCACCCACTCCTCACCAGTGTGAGCTAACTCCTGCACGACAGGTTGCAGGCCTGGGAAGCAGCGGCGGGCGCTGCACAGGAGCTGACACATCTCAGTGGCCGACACCGATTTCTCTGTGGCTCTGCTCAGCACTGCTCGCAGGGAAGCTTCAGGGCTGGCTGTCTCAGAGGAGATGCTCAGAATCTAAATGAACACCACGAGATGAAGGTTTGCGGTTAGTATCAACAGATTTTCTACATGATTTGCAACTTAAAAAAGATAATAGCTAATTTCAGGAAGGCATTGCTCCGTCTATAACAAGCTTACAATGCCTGTGATAAATGTAGTGGAGAGCCCTGCTTTCCAAAAAACATGGAAATTAACAAGTGAAAAAGGGAGGCACCTGGAAGGCAAATGTGCAGATACAAAAGGTGCAGCCAGGAAGCAGGAAGCATGTGCTATGAGAAATACCCTCTCAGCAACCAGGCGTCTCCCAAAAAACTTCTCAAGCTCTAATATTAAAAGACTGGACAACTGTAGGATTTGGTTGTTGGTGTTTCTGCCTTGAAGATCAAAATAATTTTTCATAATATATAATTGTTTCAATATCTGGAAGTAATTCTGCATGATCAGTGGCTTTACATTTTTAGATACTTAGATGCACCCTTTTAAACATCATTTTCTTTCATCAAGAAACTCGGCTTTTTAAAGAAAGGGGCTTTAAAGAGGCCAAGAACATTCTTTCAAAGCCATCCTCTTTCAGAATGTGAGAGCTATCAGCAGAAAGAGTCGTACACTGAGGAAATAAAGCAAAACCATCCACAGATGGCCAAACGGAATTTTCATTTTGGAAGATATTTTATTTCTGCTCTTTTCAAGTCTCTCTAAATAAGCCTGCTGTCCCTGGAGGCAGGCAGGAGACTCATTAGTGAGGCTCAACTGATCAGCTGCAGAAGCCCCGTCTCTGAAGTGTGTGGCGCCGGGAGAGTCTAACAGACGGACCTTCCCTCTGAAGCCCACAGAAACGTGTGCCACCTTCCTCCCCTTGAGAGTCAGACTAAGGGGGGCGGGCACCTGTGTGGACAGTGAGAAACCAGCCCTCTGCACACCGCTCATGCCCACGTGGATCAAAAGGCACTACGGTGAACTTGTGTTTAATTTTGTTCCTTTATACGTCTTCCCACTCCAGATACACCTGATCCTGGGTGGACACCCACGAATTCTCCCCCAGTCCCCACCTGGTTTTTCTGGGATGCTGGCCACACTGTGAGAAGCCTTACAGAAAATGAGTTGGCACTATTAGCTACCCCATATGGGCAAAAGCTTTGTTCTATCTATGTGTATCTTGGCTCTTTCTAGAAGCCAGAATGGAGCACATAAGACCATTTAAGTTTCCTTCCTCTAAAACAATGGTTCTCAACCTTCTGGCCCTTTAAATACAGTTCCTCATGTTGTGACTCAACCATAAAATTATTTTCATTGCTACTTCATAACTGTAATGTTGCTACTGTTATGAATCGTCATGTAAATATCTGAGATGCAGGATGGTCTTAGGCGACCCCTGTGAAAGGGTCGTGCGACCGCCAAAGGGGTCGCGACCCACAGGTTGAGAACCGCTGCTCTAAAAGAAGTTGCTTCTTAAAACATGTTAGAGAGCAGTATCATGGCTCCCTTGGAGTTTGCCGAGGTTTAGACAAATGGAATAAATCTAGTAGGTTTGTCACATGAACCTGGTTTGCACTCTGCTACGTCTCTGAGCAGCTGGAGCAACCCAGACAAGCTACTGAACCCTGGGAGCCTCAGTTCCCTTATCTGTGGACTGGGGATGACATCATCTCCCACGGAGAGCAGAAGAGGTGTGACTGGCAGAGGCTCGGCACACAGCAGGCACTCTGCAGAAGTTGGTTCCTCCCCAGGAGTGAGGCGGTCCCAGGCACTGACTCTCTGAACAGCGTGTTTTTAGTTCCCACCACACCTCTCTCACAGCCTCCGCCAGGCGCTCTTCCTCTGAGGTCAAGCCCTTGAGTTCAAGCGTGTGCTGGATGGCCTCCAGGATCACTGTGCGGTGCCTCAGGATGGTTCCTAAGGCGGCACTTTCTGGGGTGGTCACTGGAAGAAAGGGGGTTGAGAACCATTAGTAAACGATGAGCACCGTTCTGGGCTCTGAAATTCTCTTAACCTTTTCTCAACTCAACTCTTCATAATGAGAATACACGTCACTTGTCTCCCAGCTGGGGGTGGGCAAGGAAAATGGCACTCAGAGTATAATTCCCAATATAAGCTTAGAATACTTACTGCATCTTTTATGTTAAAAGGTTTGTATCCTGAAACAAAATGACTCGTCCTTATTTCTAATGGGAGGGCTGTGGAGGCTGCCATAAGAGAGCTCCTGCTACTGGCTGACAGTAACTGCTAGTGGGGACGGTCACGAGCAGGTCGGGTCCTACCTGCCCGGAAGAAAGCGCCGGCGCCCGGCTCCCTTCGCATTTCCTCCATGAGCGGGCTCAGCGGGCAGGCCTTTGTCTCCTGAACCAGCAGCAGCAGCTGCCACACGGCTGTCGCGGAGAGAGTCTGCTTTTCTAGAACTGCTGACATCAAAGAACTGAAACCACCCGAACCAGAGTCACGTTTCACCAGCGTCTCCATGACCTTCAAGAGGCAGCACAAACACACGCGTGAGGGGCTTCCTGGCCACTGCGTCCCGGGGCCTGTGCCTATGGGAGGAGTTTCTCAGCACCTTCACTCTCTCTACCTGAGAGGTTCTGTACATAACGAAGTTCTTCATGCCTCCTGTTGAGGGCCTTCCCTGTTACTGCAGAAATTACAGCTAACCTACTTGTCACGCTGCCTCAGGAACGGAGTCACCTTCTATTTCTCCTCTACTGACCCCTTAGCATTTCTCAACATGGCTGTGTGTGTATATTCATATAAAATATAAATACCTTCAAAAAATTCATCTTTTTCTCTACTTTCTCATTTTACACCCCCCTCCCCCGACCCCTCTCTTACCTCTCTTTCTCCAGGGGCTAAACTCTTCAGGTGCGGGATCATGTTTAATAACATCTGGTTGTCTGTGAAAATCTCAGAGAGGTTTTCGTGATACCTTCTCAATAGCTCAGTCCCGTAATCTTCAGGGCTCGCTTGCACTGTAAGGATATTAGCAAAACAATAATGTTCGGTAGAACACGGCTCCTTGGGGGCTTCTCCTGTGGAGGACCAGGGAGTTAAATGAGAGAGGAGGAGAGAAGTCAGCACAAGGGCACAGTCTCCTCTGGAGAGGAGCTCAGCTCCTGGCTTAGGCCTCGTGCATGTGCTCATGCTCTGATGTCCTTCAGTCTACACTCCATCACGCGGTGTGCAGGGTCACAGACCATTAAGCCTCTGAAGTTAGTGCCCCGTGGCAGAAGCTAGCGACTGCTCAGTGGGCTGGGGGAGGGGGTGGGGTGAGAAGGGAGTAATTAGAAGGCTTCACCTGTAACAGATTCAGATGAACAGATTCAAGGGGTGTTGCTTATCAAGGCTGAGGTAGAGGATCCATGTGGTGGTCAAAACACAGGCAGGCATGAGCCGAGGCTGTGGTAGTGAAGCTGACCCACCGTTCTGTTTACATGCCCCTTGAGCCAATTTGCTAGATGCTCTCTTTTAAGAGGTCATATTTATTTGAAAATAAAGGAAAATCAACACCACCAGGCATTTCCATTAGCTTTGCTGATATTTAAAAATTTATTCTCCTTTTTGGTCCAATAATTCTGCTTCTGGGGATCAAGGTATTGTCACTGTATAACTTGTGATGGTTATGACAATGAAGACAATAAGGAATATTTATTTATGAGTGCCTATTATATGCTAGGCACTGTGCTAAATGTTTTACATATATAATCTCATGGTAGCCACAAAAACGAATGTGACAGGTATCTTTCTTATCTTTATTTCACAGGGGAGAGAATGAGGTTCAGAAAGCTTAAGTCACTAGCTCAGGGTCACAGCTACAAAATGAGTAGTCTTGACAGTCTTAACCATTATGCTACATGTGTACCCAAACAAGGGCATGAATAATATGTCATATACATCCTTATGAATGAAAACTACCTAGCCTTAAAAAGCAGGATTATAGGGAGGTTTTTGTAATGGGGGAGAATGTTTATATTATACTGTTAAATGAGAAAAATTATACCATTTGGTAGAGTATCTCAACACTGTACAAATAATTGACAGATTAAAATATGACAATGTGTAAATATTGATATAATCAAATCGTAGGGTTTTAGGTTTTTTCTTTATTTTTAAAACTGTTCAAGTCTGTATAAGTATAAATTACTTTTAAAAGCTAGAAAAAAAAGTTCTCACTTCCCAAATATGCTTTTTCTGAAAACCATCTAGTTTCCAGTGCTCTAAGACAGGGGAGAACTGGCTAGAGTGGGTGTTTTTCTAAGGATGGAATATGGACTCAGTGCCCCGAACTGAATGGACAGGAGAGGGCTGCTGGAACCAAACAGTACTCAGTGGGAATGGGGAAGTCAAGATTTGAGTTTTTACTGCTCACATTTGTCAACATGATGTGTCAAAATCGTGAGCCTTGTGAGCCCATTTGATGACACGTGACATCCTGGGAAAGCCACACCTGAAGAAACCCTGCACCACTGGAACATCATGAGGGAGCTTAATAGAAAAGAATGACTCTCAGATTCCAGATCTTAACTCCAGAAATATTAGGATCACTGATTTGTGACAGCTAGTTCCTGTTTTGCAATGGCATTTCTTAACATTATCTTGCTCCCCAGCATGGCACTAAAGCGTGTTTAAGTTTTAATTTTTTGTAGGAGCGGTTCCAGTCCAGAGAGCCAGCAATTAACAATACCTGGGGTGCTCGGCAAAGTGGCTAGTTTCTGCAAATTCTCCAGCAGGAGGCCCAAGTCCGGGAACGCCATTTTCACAGCCTGAAGGACTTTTACCAAACTGTCCGCAGTCAGGGTCCTCTCCTCAGACATTCTGTGCAACCACTTTTCTATTGTCTCCTTGGGTGTTCCGCTCTCACAGCAATTCAGAATCACCTGCGGTGGCGAGCAATCAACCAGACACCAGTTACTGGCAATTCTAGAAGTATCTGTCGCACCACTGGAAAAGCCAGCAAGCTGGTATTACCAGATGCCCTGTCTCCAGGTCCTCCCTCTGCTGCTCTCTGGTGTTACTTTTGTCAAAGTCTCTTCCTTCTTCTGCTTCAATAAAAATCCAAAACATTCTCCCGACAAATAGCTCTATGAGAACCAGTCTTTCTCAGTGGCAGGTGTGTGTACATTCTTTGCCTCCAACAGTGTGCATTTTGTGAAAATACTCTCCCACTGGGCCTACATGGCAGAGCAAGTAGCTTACATCTAATCTGATTCTTTAGACTCAGTTTGTTCAGCCACCAACACTGAAAAACAGACTGGCAATTAATTAATACAGTTACAGCGTTTTTCAATTTCTGGTTAGTAGTATACGACAGTGTATAAGTTGCAATTTTAATGCAATTCTATTATTTTACTTCCTTTTACTTTATTTGTATAGCATTTTGAATACCCAGATAATTTATATATTAGTCTGTGCCCTTCAAAATAAGACTTAAAGTACATTTTTTGGATTAGTTTTTGGTGGATTCTTTGCTGTCTATCCTTCTCATTCCCAATGGCCTCATATTCCAGCTCCATTCATCACCCATATCATCATCTGTTCTTCCTGTTAAAGTGTGTTCTGAGTCAAGCGTGCACGGGGCCCAAGCAAAAGGATGAAAAATCAAACAGATGACATCTATCTTACAGATATTTTCCATTACAACAGAACTGTTTCTTGATGGATTTACAACTCAATATGCATAACTTGGCTCTTATGGAACTGATAATGCAGGGGATTATTTCAGTATGCAATCTACAGGTTCACAGTAACTAAATTTTGAGCTTTCCTTTGGGATAGTACCAGATCTCAGGAGAAACCGTCCAGCATCATTCACAGCAGCACACCAGCGTATGCTACCATCAAATTAATTCCCAGTTTAAAATAATTAATTTTGCTATAAAAACAAATTGGTTTGCCCTAGCTGGTTTGGCTCAGTGGATAGAGTATCAGCCTGCAGACTGAAGAGTCCTGGGTTCGATACTGGTCAAGGGCACATGCCTGGGTTGTGGGCTTGATCCCCAGTGGGGGGTGTGCAGGAGGCAGCCGATCAATGATTCTCTCTCATCATTGATGTTTCTATCTCTCTCCCTCTCTGAAATCAGTAAGAATATACTTTAAAAAATTGGTTTTATATATGTGAAAGGAAAATTTATATTATATACATTAAATAGATATATTATAAATAAGTTGTCATATTCCTTGTCAGTACACCACATAGTCATTCTCTTTAAGGTCTAATGCAGTGATGGTGAACCTTTTGAGCTCGGTGTGTCAGCATTTTGAAAAACCCTAACTTAACTCTGGTGCCATGTCACATATAGAAATTTTTTGATATTTGCAACCATAGTAAAACAAAGACTTATATTTTTGATATTTATTTTATATATTTAAATGCCATTTAACAAAGAAAAATCAACCAAAAAAATGAGTTCGCGTGTCACCTCTGACACGCGTGTCATAGGTTCGCCATCACTGGTCTAATGTATCTTAGATTTCTACTAAATGAATCATAATTCAAAGTTTAAGAGCTTGTATCTAAAACCCATATTGATTTCAGTGCTATCACTTCATTCCGAAGCAATAACCTGATACACAATGAGGAAACCAGTTACTTTAAGAGTAGGAATGGGTTTTCAAGCCAGATAGGCCTAGTTTGAACCCCAGGTCTAAAATTTATTGCCCATGTGAGCTTGGGCAAGATATTTCATTCTTTGAACCTTATTTTCCTCATATGCAAAAAAGGTAAGTGTACCACCTCTTGCACCATCCTTAAACGACGTCTAGAATGAAGTTGCTGTTTGGAGAGCCTAGCATAACCCCTAGGACATATGTGATTGTGAATAAATGACAGTAGTTACTGTTATTATTAGCAGCAGTATGCACAGTGGCTAAGAGAATGTGCTTTGTTGAGAAGTCTGGGTTCCAGTACTGGCTACAAGCAGCTGTGACTTTGAGTGAGCTGTTTAACCTTCTTAAGTGCCTGTTTCTTCATCTTTAAAATTAGGGTAATATCCATAGCTTCATAAAGTTGCTGTGAAGGTAGAGTTTATAAACTTAAAAGGTGCTCAGCATACTTCTTGGCACACAGCAAGCAGTAAGTAAATGGCAGCTATATGATTACTGTTTTTGTATGTCTCCAATCCTGAAGATATTCCTATTCCCATTTCTTGCAGAACCCGAGATACATACAGATAAGGGCCATGGTGCCTGTGATTAGCATCATTCCATAGCAGAAAAAAGCTCTAAAGGCCTGCGTGCAGGTTTCACGTGATGTAAAAACACTGTAGCTATTTGCTGTTTTTTTTTAAAATATATTTTATTGATTTTTTACAGAGAAGAAGGGAGAAGGATAGAGAGTTAGAAACATAGATGAGAGAGAAACATCGATCAGCTGCCTCCTGCACACCCCCTACTGGGGATGTGCCTGCAAGCAAGGTACATGCCCTTGACAGGAATCGAACGAACCTGGGACCCTTCAGTCCACAGGCTGATGCTCTAGCCACTGAGCCAAACCATTTAGGGTCACTGCGGCTATTTGATCAACATTCACCTCTACACACCTACTTTATTATTTTGCTTCAATCTTCGTGAAAAGGAGTAGCTTAATGAGGCTCTGGTGGAACCCCAATCCTAAGAAGTGTTTTTTGTAATTTATTACTAATTTAAGTTCTTCTGCTTCAGCCCTTTCTGTCAAGTTAACTGAAAATGACAGAAGAAAATGACAGCATGGTCTGCTGTGCAGCACACAATGAGGCTGAGTTTGGGCTCTCCCTATCAATGCTGTTTTACCAAGATAATGAAACAGTTCGGAGGACACATCCCATCTAGCTATTAAGGAAAAGGTTTGAATGAGTAATCGAATGGAATCACTAAGGGTATCAGGTGCCTCTAGCATAAGCAACTTACTTTGAGTGCCAGAAATTATACTTAATCTGAAGTCTAAGGATAAGACAGGGGTTTAATTTTAATATTATTTTGTGTATGTATTATCTTTTTCTAAGAAGTTTAAAGAAGTTAAAATTTTAAACATATAAATAATTTGCAAAACACAATTTTGAGATTAAAGATTATTCCCATTTTATATGAAACATTAGCAATACAAGATTACTGAGAAAAAGAAACTCTAGAATCCAGTCTCACTATTCATCCAGTGCTTAGCCATCACACCAGTGATTCGTAAACACTTTCTCCCCTAAACATGTAAGCCATTTCCCACAAAGAATTGATGCCACAAAAGTTCTCTGTTCCTATTGCTTCCTTCCAGACATAAAAATATTTTTAGCACAAAGTTGAAATCAATAACACCACCAAATACAGTTATCTAGTTGACTTGAGAAGTCATGCCAGCAGTTGTATGAGGATTTTAGTAGCTGGCTGGTGGGAGAGTAAATCGGTATAACCTTCCTGAAGGGCAACTGACAACATATACCAAGCACTTGAAAAATTTTATACTATTTCAAAATCCCACTTCCTAAAATTATTCTAAGGAAAGGATTTCAGAAGTATGCAAAGATTATGTGCCAGGGGGTTCTCTGAAACATCATTTACAACAGCAAAATACTGGGAGCAAATGCCCAACAATAAAGAATTAATGAATTATGGTATGTCCATTAGACAGTACAATACAGCTACCAAAATCCATACTGAAGTAAGGAGATGTAGTCACAATACATTAAACAAAACAGTTAAAAAACTGTCTGATAACCCCGTGCAAGGAGACTCAGATGAGAAAAGAGGAGCACACACTAGGCAGGGTTAGCAGCACTCGTCTCTGAGTGATGGGATGGCGGGATATTTGAATTTTTTCCTTTCTTTTCTTTTTTCCCCGTTTTCTACAGATGAACAGTATATCATTTCTTTAAAGAGGAAAAAGTGTCATAATAATTACAAATATACCTAGACCTTCAATTCTTGGGACAACTATTTTATAACAAAAACTCACTGATCAGAGCAGGAATATCCATCCACTGTTCACCTACCCATTTAATGTACAACTACAATGCACAAGGCCGTTGCTGCAAGGATACAGAGGCATGAATCAAGAACCTGAACTTCAAGGGGCTTACTATGTAGTATGTACAAAAATACTGCAAGGCAAAAACTGCTACAGGCCGCAAAAGAAGTTTAAAAACACACAGTGCTTTATAAATTCAGAAGGGAGGAGAGACACTCGACAGTTACCCTTTTCTCAGTGCCGGGCAGGAATTCCTCTGTGGCTGTTTCCAGGAACTCCATAATAGGTCTCAGCTGGGTTACACACTGGATCAGGTCCTCTTTGTGTTCTAGTAACAGAGCGGACAAGGTCTTTCCCGCTCCTGTGCTCCCTGGGGAGAAAGAGTTAGAGACGCACAGGAGAAGCCGGTCAATTTGAAGAAAATGACAGCATGGTTTGTCAAGAGAGATCTAACAGAATAGCAAAGTGATTCTCGGCCTATTCCGAGGACCCAAATGCAGAATCTCGCTTTTTGGAGAGGAAAATACTTTATTATTCTGTTTAAATTGTATGAAAGGAAAAGTGTTTCATTTATCTGTCGAAACACAAAGCCGCAGAGCCAGCCAGAGGTTAACTTCTGGTTGGCAAGGCCACTGCTTTGTACCAACCCCCAATGGGACAAGCTGCAGCCTTTAAAAGTGCTGTCAGCGAACCAGCTCGCCCTGGGCTCTTCACATCGAGGAGGGCGTGTGGCTTTTTGAAGGGCAGAGAACACTGATGGCAGTCTCCAACCTCAAGGTGTCAGACTAGTGTAGCACACGAGGGGAGAGAACTGGAGTCTCCAATTTAGCTTGTACATATTTAACATGCAGCTTCCGGAGTTACATGTATAATTTACGTGAAAATCACTTAACAATAGCTAGGCCACTGAAGAAATGAGTCACTGGAGCAAACTTCATAGCATCTGCCCAGAATAACACTGGGCGACCCAGGTGGATGGGTTTCTCCTACCTCTTGGCTGCACGGCTTCCCCATCCTCTGGCTTTCCACCTGACAGTGCTGTCTTCACTGCAGGATTAGAATCCTGGTACAGCCTCAGCAGGGACACAACAGTCGGAACATCCAGGCTCTCATCTCTTACTTTATCCAGGATTCTCTGGAATGCTGAATGTCCTTCTGCACCCACAAGACATCCCATCATGGTCTACGGAACACAAGTACCCAGAAAGAGAGATGAGCCAGACGCAGGAACCCCACGCTTCTTGGGTTTGGCAAGTAAGGCCCTCAGCACTTTCTGACCACTCCTTTTCAGCCTTCCACGTTGGTTACTAGAGTAACTACCATGAACTTATCTTGTCCCTGTTTTAAAAATAATAAATAAGATTCAGACACCAATTGAATGCTTAATCCCCTCTAGTCACACATATTCAACCCTTCATGTTTTTGTTAGCTGGCCGACACTCTCTGTAGAATGCCTTTTCCCTGACAGCAGTAGGGACCTGAGGTAGGCAGCCTCTAAAATGGTTCTCAATAGCCCTGCCTCCAGGCACTCATGCCCTTGGGTTGGCCCTAACAACTAAGGAAGGTAATAGGCAAAGATAATGGATGCCACTTCTGAGATGAGGTCACTGTGACTTCCACCTTGCCTAAGTGTGTGCCGTCTTTGCTCTGATGCGAGCAGCCATGTTGTGAGCTGACGACGGAGCGCAAGGAGTTAAATTCTCTGGCCAACAATCAGTGAGTGAACTTGGAAGTGGCTCTGAAGCCGGCCAACAGTCATGTGACTAAGCTTAGAGAGACACTCTCCCAGCCGAGCCCTAGGATGTCGGCAGCCCTGGTTGACACTTTGATGGCAGCCCTGTGAGACCCTGAGCCAGGGACTCAGCTAAACTAGGCCTGGATTCCTGACCCACAGAAACAGTGAGGTTATAAATGTTTGTTCTTTTAAGCTGATAAACTTTAGAGTAATTTGTTACACAGCAATAGATAACTAAGAGAGACTCACTCATCGCTAATGCCCTGAGTAAACATGTTTCTTTCTCTTTATTTTCCCTTCCTTTAGCACATCATAATTAAATGGCATATAGCTATCTCATTCTATACTTGGCCAGCTTTGTGCACCCGAAGCTCTCGGAATAGCCCAAATCCACCTTTCTCAGCATCCAATTTGTCTGGCATTATCACTGGAGCCACTGGGGAAGAGAAGCTTTCATCAGTGGTGGCATCTGATGTGCTTCTCATTATCCTCTCTGCTGTCTCCTCCTCTGCAGAACTACTCAGCAGTGAAATTAAAACATTTGTTAACTTCATTGCTCAGCAGTGACGCTAGGGTGACCATCTGGGAAGAGAAGGAGGGGTGGGCTGCTGAAAGGGCCAGGAGGGAGCAGTGAGTTGCCTGGATGGCCCTGCTCTCCGCTCTTTCTTCCAGAACCTACTGGGGACCAGTACCAGAGCCAGCGTTCATAAACTGTTACTCCACCAGCCCCCTGCGCTGCCTGGGGCTCCACAGTGGAGTGAGCTCTTTTCTGAAATAGTGTGTCTGCCTCAACAGAAGGGTGTCACATATTGCTACGGGCTGGGGCTCATTGATTGCTACCATGTAACAGACTCCAAGACATGAACCCAAACAGAGTTCTGTTCTTTAGCCAAACATTTGGCACTCCTTTGATTCTTAGTGTTAAAGGCACTGTACCTTAGTAAATTCATATAAATTCACAGTCACATGTATAATCAAAGCATTTTTATGTGAGTACAGTAAAGACGAGACAGTTTCCTTTCTCTCAATTATATGTGATAAAACATTTAATCTTCCCCTTACACAATTCTTTTAACTGAATTTACTTGTTTTGCCAACTGTTAGCCTTCAGGTTTGTTTGGGCTACACTATATTCTTATTTGCTCATGGCACCCCTAAATGCTGAGAGCAGTCATGATACAAACCACCCCCGACTGTGCACATGTGCCATCTCCTTTCTCCACACATCAGTCCCAGGAGCATTATCACGACCAGTTAAATGAGTCAGAGAGGTGAAGTCACCCACCCAACGTCACATGGCAAGTGAGTAGAGGAGTCTGGAAAAAAACAACACTGAGCTCACTGACCTGGCACCCTCTTTACCCAGTTCCACCTCCCAGATTTTGAGTGTGACCAAATCCATTTACACTGGATTCTACTGGACTTCTAGACTCAACATCACTGTGAACACTGTGCAGTAGTATCTAGACAACCTGCAGCATTCCGCTTGGTCTCAATGATTAGTAGAGATTGGTACATAGTAGGTGCTTAATAAATGCTTACCTGAATGAAATTTCCTTGCTACAACACCACTAGCCCTTCTGTCTATGCAGCATATCTTAGACTTGATAATTAGCACAGAGGAGATCTGGGGGGAAAATGTATTTTCATCTCTCATAGACCTGCAAAGTAAATCCTATTAACTCACTTTTCAAGAGGGTCAGCCTACCCTGTCAGTGACCGGTCCACATAGCACAGACCTGCACTTTCTGACAAACCTCCAAAGCAGTGACGTGGCTGAAACATTAGATTCTCACAGGTAACAAGACTTGTTTGCCTTTGAAACAAAGCTGAAGGAGAAAAAAATGCTACTACATTCTCAGTTTTGGGAGTCTTTCCAGAACTTTAGGTGAAAAGTGGCTCAAACAGCAAGGAAATCAATAGTAGGAAAGGGAATCTCTTTATTCTAGTGAAAGGCTCACTTTGCTATACACACAATTAAGAAGACAATGAAACGTTCTAGTGTAAAAGCTGAAAAAAAGCCTGAGTTTGCCTTTAAATAAAGATTTTACTACGCTCAGCCAGAAAGCCTCGTAGGTCAGTTCCTGCTTTTTCTAATGGGTAGGGGACAGAACACAAAGACGGGCAGAAGACGCATCCTCATCCCAGCACCCAACGCACTTCTCCGTAATCAGTTTTGGCTTTGGTTTCACATAATTCAAACAACCCGGCCTCTTCTCTGTTGCCGCAATCATGGCTCAGGGAATGGCTTTGCCACCTTTCATCATTTACCTCAGGAAATAAAATAATCAGGACACTGGTTCATGGTGTCCTTCCTAAACTCAATCCAGGCCAGCTCCCCAGCCTGGATCTGTTTCTCAGGAAAGGTACAGGCTGGTCCACCTCAACCAGAACATCACTCATAAGCCTTAAATCAAGTCTTACAATGACACATCTAAGGATAAATTAATTTTTAAATACATTTCAGAGAGGAAGGGAGAGATAGAAACATCAATGATGAGAATCACTGATAGGCTGCCTCCTGCATACCCCCTACTGTGGATCAAGCCCACAACCCAGGCATGTGCCCTGTCCGGGAATCGAACTGTGACCTCCTGGTTCATAGGTCGACACTCAACCACTGAGCCACGCCAGCCAGTCCAAGGATTAAACACCGATGTCTTACAGTTTGGTGGCTTCTGTGTACATTCCCCCCAAATCACACGAGGCAGATTTCTTTGCTTTTAGGACATCCTATAAGGATAGGATCTAGTCTTAGTTTTGTTTTCCTAGCAACCAGCTCAATGTCTGACACATACCAGTTGCTCAGTAAATATTTGCTGAATCAAGAGGAAAGCAAAGAGTAACCCTTGGGAAAAATGGATATTCAGTGACCCCTCAAAAGTTTAAGAAATGTCAGCAGAGACACTGTGACATCTGCCATCAGACACTAAGAATTCTGTGAGCCATTAATTTTCCAGCAGTGCTTCTCCAATGTGGTTGAGAGATACCAAACAGCATCCCACAGGGAAGTTGTTAAAGAGGGAGGTGTCCAAGTTCTACCACAACCTAGGAATCAGCCTCCCTGGAAATGTGATCTGGAGGTGTACATTTTAACAAGCCCTCAGTGATTTTTATATACACTGAACTGTTGTAGAGGTGGCGGCCTTGTATGAGACACTACACCTGCAGACCAGGAAGCTACTTCCAAGATGGGAATGGCACCTATTTGAAAACATGACTTGCAAATTATTCCTAAAGTGACAGCAAACCATCTCATGTGGAGTAAATGACCGTGGTACTAGGATATGAAAAGGCATGAGGTGAAGTTGGTGTATTATGAATGCGGCACAGTAAATAAAACAGTGTGTACAAAATATTAGCCATTATGTTCACAATATATAAAATGTATCTAATTAAACAATTATGAATCTATTTTGTGCCCTAGAAATGTTTTTGGGGAAAGATGGTAAAAATGTCATTGGAGCTAAGATGAAAATGTTTTGTTTTGGAAAAAGGAAAAAAAAGGCATGAGGTGAAAAGGGGGTTTTAAGATCAACTATGTCTAAAAAGGCTGTGTTAATATATAACAAACAACAGTTACACCTACTGAGTCCTTTTATGTGCCTGGCATTTTAGTATGACTTTCATATAAATAACCTTAATTTCACCAAGATTCTGAGATATAGGTGGTAACATTCCCATTTTACCAATTAGAAAATAAAGGCTTAGTCAGCAGTTCTCAACCTGTGGGTCACGACCCCTTTGGGGGTCGAACGACCCTTTCACAGGGGTCGCCTAAGACCATTGGAAAACACATATATAATTACATATTGTTTTTGTGATTAATCACTATGCTTTAATTATGTTCAATTTGTAACAATGAAATTGAGGGTCACCACAACACGAGGAAATGTATTAAAGGGTCATGGCATTAGGAAGGTTGAGAACCACTGGCTTAGATGAAGTTGCTCAAGGTCACAGGCTAGCAGCGCTGGATAAACTGCATATCCATACAATGGACACTGCTCAGCAGTAAAAAGGAATGAACATGCAACCTCAAAATAAGTATTCTGAATGAAAGAAGCCAGACCAAAGGAATTCAGACTATGACTCCATTTCTAGAGTATTCTAGAAAATGCAAATTAACTACAGTGGCAGAACGCAGATCAGTGCTACCTGGTCATGGGCGAGTGAAAGGAGGAGGAGGGAGGGGTTACCAAGGGAACTAAAACTTTCAGAAGTGTCTTCACTATCTTGATTGTATAGTGATGGTTTCAGGTTTCAAGACTTGTCAAACCGCATACTTTAATAACTAGTATGTGCAGTTTACTACATGTTAATCATACCTCAATAAAGCTGTCTAAAAGCAAGTAAAAAGAGAGAGAAGTGCAGGGCCTAAGAAAGCAGTACCTCCCTAACGCTCTATTTTATTTAATTTAATCTTATGTTCCTGAAGTATCTTTTTCCTTTTTCTTTCTGCAGCAGGAAGATTTATTACAGAATATAACAGAATCAATTTTAAATACAACCACCAAATGGTGTGTAGAGCTCTTACTCTAACCTCTAAAACCGAGGAAGTAATAACATAAGCCTATAATGATCGCCAGCAGTGATTCGGTGTTCTTTCAAAGTACCAGTAATGCTATTGCCATCAAAAGATTAGGACAAGAATTGGAGGAGAAAATATTAAATGAGTCCATATCTGTAAATATTTTTGAGCACCTTTTACGTGTCAGATACTTTTAGGCACCAGTGAGAGGGAAAAAATGCATTAAGACACAATTCAAGGAAGTATAGAGGTATCATTAATAATTTCAGTATTCCTGACTAAGGGATGATGTTGCTCTCTGCATCCAAACTTAAGAGAGGAAGCCTTAAGAGAAAAAGCAAAGAGGTATGACTATAGCTAGCTATCAAAGTAAGAAACTAGTGATAAAATGATGCATTAAACAGTTAAGAGAACATCCAAGTGCAAAAACATAAAACCATAATGTCCTTCAGCATAACTGGTTCAAAGTATACCAGGTTTTATAACTTGAACCCTCCCTAAGAGAGTCCTCAGGGTTAGCCCAGTCTTGTAAATAGTTTATCTGTTAAGAAAATAATTTAGAGCCAACTGTTGATTAACCATGGTTAAAATAAGTACTTGACCTTGACTTTGTGTGTTTTTTTTAAATTTACTATGCATCAGGGATACATTTAAATATTAGAAGGCAGTTATTTATTGGATTAATAGTAACTAACAAAAACCAAACGCCTACAGCAGCATGGGAGACCTCACAACACTGCCCACCAATCGGATGAGGAAGCCTGGGGGGCAGTGCCCTCTCCTCTGCCAGCGCCTCTGGGAAGGGAGGGCTGGGGAAAGGGGAAGCAAGGGGAGTTCCAAAGTGGCCCTGGGATCAATCCTGCAAGGTTGTGAGGAATTGGGTTGTGAGGGATCCTGTCGGTGGGGGTGTGTCTCACTGAGAATTGAAGAAAAAAAAGGTCGGCTAAGAAACAGAGCCTGATTACCATTTGGCAGCTTTTTGTCAGTTAATTCCTGAACATTTACACATACACTAGAAGCCTGATGCACGAAATTCATGCAAGAGTAGGCCTTCCTTTCCCCGGCTGCCAGCACCGGCTTCCCTCTGGCACCGCGGACCTGGGCTTCCCTTGCAGCCCCGCAGCCCCAGCTTCGTCTGGAAGGTCGTCTGGTCTAATTACGCTTTTATTATTATAGATAGATGATATACACACAGCACTTTTACTCTTTGGGAGGCAGTATTAACTCAACATGTATGAGAACAGCTCAAAGTTAGAATGCTTAGTTTGAATTCTTGCTCAGTCTCACAAGCTCTGTGACTTGGCCAAGTTACAGCATCTCCTTAAGATAGTTTCCTCATCCATAAAACAAGGCTAAAAAATACCACAGTATCCACCTTGATGATTTTTGTGAGGATTAAATGAGATAACACATGCTCCAAACATAGCATACTAGATGTTCAATAAATGTCCACCGTTCTTGTTTGGATAGCTGAAAATGGCCACTGTAGTCCTAAACATTGGATACAATTTACCAGTTAAGTTTATATTACATCCTTTTTGTACCGGAGGGAATGTTATAATCACTTAAGAATCAAAATTAGTTATAAGGTGGAATTCACCTGTTAATCAAAATACAATTTTGTTTTGAAAGTATCTTGCCTAATAATTTTGCAACACTGCCCTTTAGGGAATAAATGTAAAAAAAATAGTTTGAAAAAATTGAAACTCTGGGGGATTTTGCATTTTCACATTTCTGTCCTAAGTTAGAAGCGGATCTGGTACCCTGAGAACACGAAACTAGCAAGTAAGACTCAGTACCTACCTCCTTCTGTATACCTTTAATTTCTGAACATTCTTCTAGTTTTTTTAAAACATCCTGGGTAACCAAGAGTGCGTCAGAGAAGATACTTTCATTTTCTAGAAGAAAATTCATCTGGGAGTGTTTTGTCTCATACTCTGAATGTAAAACAAAATTAAAAAAATCAGTGATTCATTACTTGAAATGATTTTTAAAAGTTTAAGCTGAGAAGCTTCAGGTCATAGACTGCATTTGTGAGTAATGCAGCACACCAGTTATGAGCAATGAATAGAAAACTGTGTCTCTAACATCTTCCTTCTTTGTGCCATCCTCATCCTGGTTAAAGTAATGGGAAGTATAAAAAATGGTGTACTGTTATTCCAATATTGCTTTTCTGCTCTGTAGTTCAGCTTCAGATTTTCAACACTCACAAACACAGATACTTTTACAAGAAGAATGCCCTGGTAGGAGTAATGTATTGATTTTTATATCCTATTTAACAGTGGTCTTTGGTAAATTTATCAATGAAACAAAAAAATTCATAAAGGTCATTGAATCCAGTAACTGACTACAGGAGGATAGATTACAAAACAACTATTACACATGCATTACCTGGTTCTGTGCTGGCCTCCTTTGCCTCACTGAAGGCTTGTACAACAGGGGAGGAAGGACAGACTTCCGCAGTGAGAGGAGTCTCCACTGGCGCGCCTGCATCCCCCTGAAGCTCCTGGGCAGGGGAAGGACCCACACTCATTTCTTGTGCAACCGTAGGGACAGCTTCCTGCGTCTCGGCCTTCACCGGGGTGGAACCCTCCCGGGGAGGAGGAGGCTCTCCCGCACCCTCTGAAGAAAGGATTTCTACTTCAGGCTTCTCCGACTCTTTCCTGAATGACTCCAAGGGTGGCACGGAGACATCCCTCACCACCTGACCCTGAACAGAGCAGTTTACAAGGCTACTCAGAAGATTTTTACAACTAACAGCCACGTCAAACATCTGGAGGCTGTCGGCTAAAGAGATGATTTTGGAGAAGTTGTGCTTGCCCACAGGTAGTTTGCCAGTGTACATCATCTCTAACAAGAGGGCGAACTCCTCGGGGCTCACCACGGATGCATCGATGGAGATGGTGTCTGTGTTGTCCAGCAGGGTTTTGAAGAGGAGGCTGGCAGCGGCCAGGACAAGTTTGTGGGCCTTGAAGTAAATGGTCCCAATGGAAATGGTGCAGTCACAGAACTGCTGCTCCTTGCACAGTGTGTAGAGCTGCTGGAGCAGCTGCCGGCTGTAGTTGGGGAGCTCCATCGGATCGGCTCTGCCGCGAGGCCGTCTCTTCCCCTCTTCTTCCAGAACCCGCTTTGTGAGGATCAGCACTAGATCCTAGAGAAACCCCAAAAGGCCATGTTAATACTTCACAACACACAGGGAAGTGCCTTGAATGAAATATTAAAACAAAACCAATAAAAAGGCAATTCATTCATTCATTAACAAACGTTGCGTAATATGAAGGGGCACTGAGCCAGGTATACTGCCGGGGTCCAACCCCAGCAGGTCCAGGGGTTCCCAAAGGTGTGGACGGAGTCGGCGAAGAAGGAATGACACGGAGACAGCGTTCAGCTGATCAGCAGCCTAGCCAGGATCTCCAGCCATGATCTCCAGCCAAGTTCTGGTCTGGATCTCCAGAGAGGTTCTGGTTCGGATCTCCAGCCAGGTTCTGTGTCCATGTTCTCTTGCTAGGTTCTCCAGGTTCTCCAGCCAGGTTCAGATACCAGGTTCTAGTCAGGTTCTCTTGCCAATTTCTGTAGTCAGGTTCAGTCCAGGATCTTTTGCCATGTTCTCTCCAGCGAAGTTCTTCTGTCTCTAGGTTCTGTGTAGGTTCTGTCTTCTAAGTTCTGTGTTCTAAGTTCTGTGTCTTGCTGTCTTATTACATCTGTATTTATACCAGTTGATTCAATCCTATCAATCTCTATTACAAAGGTTAGGGCGTTTCTTATCTCCATTCCAGGGAGTAAAGATTATGTAGCTTAAGCATGATTGTTCGTAGTTAAAGTGATTAATTACCCACCTGGCACTTAGTTAAGAGGTTTTATTCCCTCCCTAACTTCAGGGGAAAATCCCTACCTGGGGAAACAACCTTTCTCAGAGACCTTGGTTAAAACGCATAGTGCCAAGAAGGTGAGCAAACATATTAAGAACAGTATGCCATATATGCCAGGTCCCTTGAAACAGCAAGCATGGACCGGCTCCCGGCAGTATACAAAATGAATAGTGCTGATAACTGTCATGTGTTTAACTGCATGAACAGGACTATACTTAGTGCTTCACCTGCATGATCTTATTTAAGCCTCACAACAACTCTACGGGAAAGATACTACATCCTCCCCATTTTCAGAGGAGACTGAAATGCAAGGGGCTGAGAGAACCAGCCGAAGGGAAAGCAGCCATTAAATGGCATCTCACTGCTTTCAAAGCTGTATGTAATCCTGCTATCCATGAGTTCTCAGCCAACTGAAGGAGACAAATATATAGACAGTTATAACACAATGTCCTGACAGTTATCCCACCTACTGGCAACATTGCACACAAGTCACCACTGCCTCCCTCTAACTAGTAAGTGCATTTCTACTTGCCCCTGCTCTCTGGTTCTCCTAGCACCTCACTAGCCTTCTCCATTTCCTCTGGTCAGATGCCCTCTGTATCACTTTGACCTCTCAAGTTGGAGTGCTTCAGGACTCAGCCATCTCACTTCCTCTCTTCTCTCTCATCTGATTCCTTAAGTGTGAAATCTCTAAATGCAGACAGCTTTCAGATTTGTATTTCCATCTCAGACCTCTCCTCAGAACTCCAGTGCCCACCTTCAACTAGGCACGCAAATCTCCAACTGGAGGCCTGACAGGTTTCTTCAACTTACACCTAGAACTCTCCTGCCATCTTCCCCACTTCACAGCAATTCTGTCCTTCTGGTTGTTCAGGCTAAAAACCTTTGTTTCCCTGTTTCTTTTCATACTCCCTATCCAATCCTTTATAAATCCTGTTGGCTCCACCTTCAAAATATATCCAAAATCCAATCACTTACCACCACCTCCACTGGCTGCACTCTGGTCAGTCCAAGCCACCAACACCTTTTATCTGGATGATTGCAACAGTGTCCTAGCTTGTCTCTGCCCCTTCCTAGCATTCCCCCTACTCTACCCTACTTTTAACCCAGTAGTTAGATTGATCTTCTTAGCACATAGCTGTCGTCTTGTCATCTGTTTGCAAAAAGCCTCCATAATTTGGAGTCTCTCAGTAAAAGCCAAAAGCCTACAATCCCTTCATGATTTGGCTGTCATTGGCTCTCCAGCGTCATCTACACTCTCCCCTCACCATTCTGCTCTCAGCACACTGCCTTCCTTGCTGATCCCGGAATACACTGGGCATGCTCCTCAAAGTTTCTTCACATCCGCGCATGGCTCCCTCTCTCCCTTCCACCAGGTCTCTGCTCAAAGGCTATATTATTAGTGAGGCCTTCTCTGATCGTGTTCTTTAAATAGCAACCTCCTCTCCAACCCCTGAACATCCCAGCCCTCCTACTCTATTTTTCCACCAGAGAATTTATCACTTAGTGACATACTGTATTTTAACTGTTTATTATGTAAGGTCCATTATGGAAGGACCTTTATTTTTTTTATCATTTGCTATATCCTAGTACTTAAAATTCTGCCTAACACAATTATTGTTGGTTAGTTGGTGGGATGGATAAATGAATGGAAGAAAATGCAAGGATAGAGATTGCACTTAGAAACCCAGTTTGGAGGACAGGGGAGTCCAGGAATTAGAGTAAGGTTTTGAGTAGGAGCTAGCAGCTGACCTGTCAATAAATAAGTAAATACTGATGAGGGGGAAAAGGTGGGGGGAAAAGGCATTCCTAGCAGGGAAGCCTGCATGCGGTACACAAGTAAGAACACATCAGAGAATGGAGGGAGGAGGATTGGGAGCTGCGGTTATAAGGAGTTCTGTGATAGTGGAAAGGCAGGGATAGGGAGTGTCAGGAGATGAATCTGGAGAGGCAGGCAGGGGTTCTGGTCAGAGAGAGACATGAGCTATGCTTAGGAGCTCGGAATTATCCTACAGGCAATGAGGAGCCACTGACGGGTTTAAAGGGGTTTAAGCAGGAAAGTCACATGGTCAAATACGCATTTTTAAGTAAGACTTGTACAGAATTTGAGGGGAATAATGCTAGAGACAGGCTCTATTATGGCAGGAGCTTAGGGAAAAATCAATGAAGGCTTTGACCAGGGAAAGTAGTAATAGAATAGAGAAGAGACAGCCAAAAATAGTTAGAAAGTGTAACTGTCATGATTTAGGGCCTGAATAGGTGTGACTCCCAGGTTCCTGGTTTGGTTCGGTGATCCAGATAATACAAGAAAAAGATAGTTAAGTTTTGGATTTGAGGATCTGATGATGACAGCAAAATTGTGTAACCTCACTTACATAAAGCAGAAAGTCTAGTAAAAATAATAGGATAGAAAGACATATGTCAAAATAACACTGGTTGCCTTTGTTAGCAGAATTATGGATAACGCCCTTTCTACTCCTCCATTATTTTTTACATTGGACAGTTTACCGTTTTACACAGTCAGCTGTTAGTTCATTCATACTCTCTGCACCGAACTTGAGGTTCTGTCCTAAGGGGTTTGCGTCTCTACTTCTTTTACAGAAAGCAGCTGATAATCCTGAAGGACAAGGAAGTGAGGAGGCTGACATGAGACGGAAAAGAGTTGAAGCTCTTAAGGTATAGACTAGAAATGGTTTTCTTAGAGAAAATTGAAACTTAGGATAGAGAATTGTGTTAAGCCTTTTATAGTTCAGTCATCGATATTTTCTTGCCTTAATTTTTCTTTCCCTTTTATCCATCAATTTTTGGTTTCTAAAAAATAGTGCTTTTTCACTCTTTATATCACATTTATGGAAAGCAATTTGATGAAACCACACCATTATTTCTTTATTTTCTACATTTGGAACTGGCAGATGAAAGTAAAATACTTCCGTGTTCCAGTTTCTGGTCCAGCATGTAAGGAGTTTAGAAGTCACCATTTTATCCTGACAGCAAAATAAAAAGCTAAACAAGTTGAAAAATCAACAACTCTTAGATCAGCCAGAGAAGTGAGGTCATAGGGCAAACGTGCTGCCCCAAAAACTGAAGAGACAGAGAGGCAGATATAGAGAATCACTGCCTCTGAGAGCAGAAACCCACCAACAGACAACCTCCATGGGGACCCGTGCAGGATAAACTGATACAGACATGGGAGAGAAGAATTAGGATTATTTCATTAATGCAGGGCACTTACATATATCTGCGAAGTAGTATAGTACAAAGTGGACCTGAACTAGTTATAGATGTATATTGCAAACTATAGGGCAACCACTATAAAAAGTTAAAAAAGTATAACATGTTAAGAAAGGAGAGAAAATGGAATCATGTAATACGGTCAACTAAAACCACAAAAAAGGTGGAAAGGTGTGGAAGACAAAAACTGGAGAAGAGAACAAGGGCAACATATAGAAAATATTAGCAAATATGGCAGATATCAATTCAACTATATCAATAATCACTTTAAATGTCAATGGTCTAAATATACTGATTAAAACACAGATTGTCATTATGGATCAAACAGGACCCAAATCTATGCTGTCTACAAGAAACTCATATAAGTATACAGACAGATTTAAAATAAGGGAATAGAGAAAGATATAGCATACTAACACTCATCAAAAGAAAGCAGAAGTAGTTATATTAATTTCAGGTAGAGCAGACCTCAAACAAGGAAACTTATTAGGAATAAAACAGGCATAGAAAAAATAGGGACATCGTTGAAGTCAACAGCACCATCAATTAACTGGATAGAATGCACATCTATAGACTTGCTTCATCCAACAACAGCAGATTACACATTCTTCTCAAGCTCACATGGAAAAGTCACCAAGATAGACCACATTGTGGGCCATAAAACATACCTTAACTAACTGGACAGAATAGAAGTCATACAATCTCTGCTCTCAGACCAAAATGGAATTAGACTAGAAATTATTAACAGAAAGGTAGCTGAAAAATCCCCAATACTTGGAGACTGAAGTCTACAAGCAAGGTTAAAAAGACTGAACAGAATTATGTATTTACCAATACACAGATACTAAAAACATGGTTATAAATTTGACCAATAAAAGGAGAATGTGAATAGTTAAGGCAGGAAACATTCAAGGGTGATCAAGGGCTACTTAATAAATGTAAGCTGGCAATGTTGAAAGTTGAAATTGTACTGAAAGTAACAGGAAAACTAATTAAAGAACAGACTTTTGGCAAAACTGAGCTGACGTAAATGGACCTTTTCTCCCACAGAGATACTGGATTAAACAAAACAAAAATGCTTTAAAAATATATAGCCAAGCTAAAAAAAAATAAATAAATAAGGAAATTCTCAAACACTTGAAACGAAAGAGGCATCAAAATCAAAGCCAAACAGTAAGTGGGAGTGGAGGCCATGGTGGCCCACAGGGGTTTCAAACTCCAACACAGGCCCTGGGCTTGGAGGCGAAAGCACTAATGCTAACAGGGAGGCTGGCAATATAGCTTAGGCAGAAGGTGAGAGAGTTGGAACTGAGACCCTTGCACAAAGAGCCTCAAACACCTATCCCTCCTCGAAATGGTGTTTAAAAAATCTCTGCTCACTGGTTCAGTGAACAGCAATAAAAGTTGCTGGTTAGTGCTGGCGAGGATGTGGAGAAAAAGGAACCCTCCTGCACTGCTGGTGGGAATGCAGACTGGTGCAGCCACTTGGAAGACAGTAAGGAGTTTCCTCAAAAAGTTAAAAATGGAACTCCCATTTGACCCAGTAATCCCACTTATAGGATTATATTCCAAGAAACCAGAAACACCAATCAGAAAGGATATATGCACCCCTATGTTCATAGCAGCACAATTTACCATAGCTAAGATTTGGAAACAGCCTAAGTACCCATCAGCAGATAAGTGGATTAAAAAACTGTGGTACATCTATACCAGCGGTTCTCAACCTGTGAGTTGCAACCGCTTTGGTGGTTGAACAACCCTTTCACAGGGATCGCCTAAGACCATCCTGCATATCAGATATTTACATTACGATTCATAACAGTAGCAACATTATAGTTATGAAGTAGCAATGAAAATAATTTTATGGTTGGGTCACAACATGAGGAACTGTATTTAAAGGGCCAGAAGGTTGAGAACCACTGATCTACACAATGGACTACTATGCCGATATAAAAAAGAAGGGGCTTTTACCATTTGAAACAGCATGGATGGAACTGGAGAGCATTATGCTAAGCGAAATAAGCCAGTCGGAGAAAGATAAATATCACATGATCTCACTCGTATGTGGGATATAATGATCAACATAATTTGATGAACAAGAATAGATTGATCTAGAGAGAAATGGTAGGGGGCGGGGTTAGAGAGCAACTAAAGGACTTTTATGCGTGCATATTAGCATAACCAATGGACACAGACACTGGGCGGTCGGGGCTTGCCCAGGGTGGAAATGGCTTGGAGGGGGTGAGGTTGGGGGGAGGGTCAAGTGGGGAAAAAGGAGACATATGAAAAACTTTAGACAATTAAAAAAAAAAGTTGCTAATTATTCAGGCCTTGAGTAGAGGAAACAGTATCCACAAGAAATCTAAAATGTAGGCTTATGCCATAGAGGTATAACATCCAAATGTACACCCTGCATCCTACAGAAATTGTGAGCAGAGAAATTAACATAAAAGCTGGTCTTTGACATGTAGCAGAAAAAAAACCAGAATACTTTCATAACCCTAGGTATAGACTCACACAGGGAAAAAAGAAAATATAGAAAAGAGCTCACTGTTACAAACCATATGAGGAAACATGAATGTGAAAGGTAAATCTATAAAAGCTAACAGTAGAAAATGTCAGAGGGTATCTTTGAAGCAAGGGTAGAAAAACTTTTTAAACTAAAAGCCAAAAAAAAAAGGGTAGGAGAAAAAAGGGTAAAGGATAAATTTGACTACATTGATATTAAAGGTTTCTGTCAAAGAACACTGTAGACATAAATAAACAAATGGACAAATGGTAGAACTAGGAGATAATATTTGCAAAGTTTAAAGGCAACAAAAACTCAAATCTAGAATATTTAAGACGTTTCTGTAAATCTTAGGGAAAAAATTGAAATCCAAGTGGAGATGGGAAATGGACAAATTATATAACTACACAAGTCAGAGAAGGAGAAGCTTATTTAATTGATAACAACTATAGTAGCAGTCGTTGTTACAACAGCATCTACCATTTATTTTGATGAGGCAGATGCTGTAATTATCCCCTTTTACTGATGGGGAGCCTAAGGCCAAAAGAGGTTGAGTAATTTCTCCAAGGTCTCACAGTAACGTGTGGTGGAACATGGATTTGCATCCAGGGCACCACTGGTGGGTTTACAAATTGATACAGCTGTCCCGGAAAAAAAAAAAAATTATGGTAATATTTAGTAAAATTTTCTGTGCATATATCCCCTATGACCCAGTAATTCTAGGTAAATATCCTAGAAAAATTCTCACATAAGGAAACATAGCCAGAAAGATCACTGGGGTATTGTCTGTGGTAGCAGGGACAGGAGAGGCAATTTAGATGTCCATCACTAAAAGAATGTAAGTGTCTATGATGTATACTATGGAATATAGTACATTACAAAGAACCACCAAGTAGTTATTTAGACCAAAACATAGATAGATCTTAAATAACCAGTGTTGAGTAAAAATATAAGAACCAGAATGAGATCTAAAGCATGACACCATTTACATAAGTCAAAAATACACAATCAAAACAATACTATATGGTACAGAAAGTGACATATATAGCCAAAGACATTTTATCAAATAAACATAAGAGTGGGTGCTCTTGGGGGAGGAAAATGGGAGTAGGGATTAATGAAAACCAAACAAGAGGTGCCTTGCCCAGATTGATATAGGAGGCTCTCTACCTATATGCCCAAAATGGCAAAAATAAAAAGTCACATGAAGAAATGAATCACCAAAAAGGAAAGTCAGTAAGTGGAGGAAATAACACAAATAGCATTCCTAAGAACTGAAAACCATAAAAATTACAGAATATTACGGAAAATCCTAAACTTGTTTCATTTTAATAAGCAGGTGGAATAAAGGAAGGCCATATGAAACAAGATAATATGAAAAAAGAATAGGCAAATGTGAAAAAGAACTTTTAGGAATAAAAAATTAACTCACCAAAATTCATCAATTGATGAATTAAATAGATTAGATATAATTAAAGAGAAAATTAGTGATTAGGAAGAGAAGTCTGAGAAAATTACTTGGAAGGTGGCAGATTAAAGAAACAGAAATATGAAAGAGAGGCTAAAAGACATGGAAGATAGAATAAGAAGTATGCACATGCCTCTAATAGGTGTTCCAGATGGAGGCAATGGCAAACATGTGGGAAAAGCAATTTGAAGATACAATTTCTGAGAATTTTCCAGAATTAAAGACAGACATGAGTCTTCAGAATAAAAAGTTCAAAATAACACCGGGAAAAAAATTATAAGAAATCCAAGAGAAAAAGATATTACTTGTAAGAGAATGACAACTGGACTAATACAGACTTCTCCTTAATAAAAACAAATGTCAGAAGAAAATACAGTAAGTTTTCATATATTAAGGAAAATAACAATCAATCAAGTATCTATACCCAGTTTGATATAACATCATCTTTAGACAAAGATAGAAGACTCACTGACTGTCATTAAAAGAATTACCAAAGGAAGGAAACAGAATCAGAAAGAAGGGATACAATGTGAAAGAAAAACAAAAGCAAGTAGCAAGCAAAGAAATTGTTAAATATATCCAGTAGAAAAGTTAAAATCACAGACTGATAACACCAAATGTTGGTGAGGATGGGAGTGACTAGAACTCTCATACATTGCTGGTGGAGTGTAAAATGGTACAAACACGTGGGAGAACAGTGTGGAGGTTTCTTATAGTAAAAAATGAACTACTGATAAGGCAACAACATAGACAAATTTTTAAAATATTAAGTCAAAGGAAAACACAAAAGAATACATACCACATGACTTAATTTAGAGGTAACAGAAATACAGGCAAAACTGATCTACAGTGATAAAAATCAGATAGTGTTTGTGGAGGCTATTGGGGTAGTGTGGGGAAGGGAACTGAACAGAAAGACACACATAGGAACTTTCTGGGGAAATGAAAAATGTTCTACATCGTATTTTGGATGGTCATTAAAGTGTAGATTATTTGTCAAAACTGTTAAAATAGAAAACTTAAGCTCATTGGACTGCATGTTAATTATACCTCAATAAAAAAGAAATTAAGTAATGTGTTGGTATACCTAAAATGCACTGACTGTTTAAAAATGGGCATGGGAAGGGGAGGTTAAAAACAATGTAGAATAATGATAACCACAGTACCTACCACTTATTAAATGCTTACCATGTGCCAGGCACTATTTATATTGACTCGTTTAATCCTTTTAACAATTCCACGAAGTAGGTGCTCTTATTATCCCCATTTTATAGATAAGAGAGGTTACACTTACCCAGAGTTACACAGCTAGGTCAAGGTCCACACTCAGGCAGTCTGGTTCTGGTCTGAAGTTAAAAATCAACAACACAGAAGACAAAAGAAGGGAGACTAGAGTTAAAATGTTCCAAGGTCAAGGGGATGACAAAAACAATGACTAACTTTAACCTTTGTTAAGTGATGTATGTTAACAGGTAAGAGCAAAGGGAACAGAAGCTAAATATTTACAAACAAGGGGTATAAAAGGGAATCAAGAAAAATGTGATTGATCCAATAGCAATTGAAAAAAAGAAAGTGTAATAAACAAAAAAACAACTTAAGATGGTACAAATAATTCCAAACGTATTAGTAATTACAATTTTTAAAAAGGCAGGTTAAACTTTCTTGTTAAAAGGCAGAGAGCCCTGGTTGGTATAGCTCAGTTGGTTGGAGTGTCATCCCAGGCACCAAAAGATACTGGGTTTGATTCCTGGTCAGGGCAAGTGAAGGAAGCAACCAATTGATCTCTCTCTCTCTCTCTCTCTCTCTCTCTCTCTCTCTCTCTCTCTCCCCCCCCCCCTCCCTCCCTCCGTCTCTCTCAGCAACCAATTGATGTCTCTCTCTTTCTCAAAAAATTAAAAGGCAGAGAGATTCTCTGTTTGGATTTTTAAAAAGGGGGGGGGGGAGCACCTAGCTATATGTTGCTTTTAAAATAATGAAATGTGGGTGTTTTTACATGTAAAAAGTGTTTAGCACATGATAAATACTACATGTGTTAGCTGTTATTATTATTACCAAGAGAAACTGTGAATCATTCTCATTAAATAGTTTTTAAAAAAATATATTTTCATTGATTTCAGAGAGGAAGGAAGAGGGAGAGATAGAAACATCCATGATGAGAGAGAATCATGGATCGGCTGCCTCCTGCAAGTCCCTCACTGGGGATCGAGTCCACAATCCGGGCATGTGCCCTTGACCGGAATCAAACCTGGGACCTTTCAGTTCACAGGCCAATGCTCTATCCACTGAGCCAAACTTGAAGTTAGCCATCTGATATGACAGCTGAAGTATCTATCTGTAAATAAACAATTAAACTATATAATCTTTGTAGACCGCTTCCAGGTACATACTACTGTTATTAAGGGATACACTAGTGATTTGGGAGCTGCTGAAATATACGAAAAGGCTAAGTTATACTTTGCTGATCTCACAACTAAAATGTAAAGGCCTCTGACATATTTTAGTGAGTTTACCCCTAACTCCCTTTGCAAAGATGTTAAATGGAGGAGAGAAAATCTAGCATAAATAGAATGTCACAAAAGTGTGCTTTTCAGAGTTAAGAAACTATAGTGTAAACACTGCATGTTGGAAATCTCTAAGGGAATCCTGTAGATTCTCATAAAGAGGCAACTTAAATCATGTTATTAAGCACTTCCTAAAATTGCTAATCTTGGGAAAATTGTCAAAGGTCCTAGGGGGAAGACATTTAAGCAACAAAAGAGCATCAGAATGATGAATGTTCCTCAAAGGAACAATATTAAAGTCTCAAGAAAAGACTATACTGATATAGAATAAAGATACATTGAAAAAACTTAATTGGTTGAACCAAGTGCTGCATAATGACCCAAAACACAAATGGGACTTCAGCATACTAGTAAAGTGAAAACGAGGCCAGCTTTCTAAAGAAAGCACAGATATATTTTATCTATCTATCTATCATCTATCTATTCATTTACAATTTTATTCTGCCTTCTTCCAAAAACGAATTGAAGTTTGAAAATTCTTTAAGTTACAAAGAAACAAAAGTCACAGGAGAAAAAAAAAAACACAAAACACAAAAGTAGCAACTAAGTCATAGTTGATAGAAACTACAGAATCCCTTTAATGAACATAGAGGAATATAGAAACTTACAGTTTCGATCTGTATTGCTTAGTTTAATAAAACAGATGTTCTGAAATCCACAATTGCTGGCAATATCTTTAGCAAAGCACACAAACAAAGGCCCTCACTGCCACTACCCAAGAGTAAGAGACTTTTCTGTGCCTCAGTAACTGGACCTGCTACTCCTGCATTCACTGTACTTATTTTCCCCTAAGACAACCAGTACTTTATGGGTCAATTGCCTACTATTTACTCAGCACATTGCTAGGTGCTGTGTGGGAGCCAAGTGAATAAAACAAGATCCCTGTCCACAGGGAGTTTGTAATCAAGTTGACCCAACACTGAAATGATCAAAGAACAGAACTCTTAAAAGACTCAATCCACAGGAGACAAGAAGAGGGAAAGAAAGAAGAGGAGGGGAAAACAGGTTGATCCCAGTGAGTGGCAAGGAAAGAGAAAGGGATGGAGCAGGTAAGTGCAAGTTAGGTACAATTTCAACAGGCAAGGGTGAACAGGTAAAGAACTACAGACTGAGGGAGAACCATGACCAGCTCCAGAAGAGAACACTTGGCACATCTGCTGAAAATACAGTGGGGCCTTGACTTACGAGTTTAATTCATTCCGAGACCAAGCTCGTTAAGGAGCTCATTAACTCAAATTACTCTGTCAACTCAACGCAAAAAATCGGCCGAGAGACAGCTGGTATCTCAAAAAACTCGTTAGTCAGGACACTCGTAAGTCAAGGCCCCACTGTAATGTCTGTGCACAGGCAACAGGCACTGAAAGGTATCTGATAAGCAGGTGCCATTATGATTATGGACACTGGGCTGGCTAGGGTGGGTTTCCAAGACAAAGTGTGGAGGACAAGGCTGACTAGATTGGGGAGACCAGAAAATGAGCAGAGGAACTTACATCTACTTGAGGGAGAAGCTTCTGAAATAAAAACAACAGTGGCAGGTAGGATGGACTAATGAGGAAAAGTGAGCAGCAATGCGAAGGAACAATAGGCATCCTATATATATTATCTACAACTGGACAACTGGAGTTCCATGGAGCAGAGGCTGGGCCCATCTATGCTGGATTTCTGTACCCCAATATCTACACTAATAAAAGACAAATATGTTAATTGACCATACCTTCACTATGCCCATCAGCCGATCAGAAGACTATGCAAATTAACCCAACAAAGATGGCCATTAAATTTGCATACTGCAGGTGGGGTGGGACAGCGTGAGCCGCCATCTGGGCCTCCCATGTGTGACCCAGGGCGGTGGGGCAGGACAGCGTGAGCCGCCACCCGCTCTGCCACCATCGGGGCCTCCAGTGGATAAGCCAGCAGGTGGTTATCCCCCGAGGGGTCCCAGACTATGAGAGGGCACAGGCTGGGCTGAGGGACACCCCCGAGTGCACAAATTTTTGTGCACCAGGCCTCTAGTCCTATATAATAAAAGGCCAATATATAAATCGACCAAATGGTGAAACAAACTGGTAGCTCTGACATGCACTGACCACCAGGGGGCAGGCGTTCAATGCAGGAGCTGCCCCCTGGTGGTTAGTGTGCTCCCACAGGGGAAGTGCCGCTCAGCCAGAAGCCCTGAGCCGGGCTCACGGCTGACGAGTGCAGCAGCGGTGGTGGGAGCCTCTCCTGCCTCCTCAGCAGCACTAAGGATGTCTGACTGCCGGCTTAGGCCCGCTCCCTGTCAGTTGGACATCCCCTGGGGGCTCCTGGACTGTGAGAGGGTGCAGGCTGGTCTGAGGGATGCCTCCCCACCCGCCTTGCAAGAATTTCGTGCACCGGGCCTCTAGTTCAATGATAAAAGCCATTCTAATACTTGATCAGGGGTCCTCTATTCTGGTTCCCTAACAATTCTGTACTCTCCTTGCAGAACATCTATCTCAGGGCCTAAGACATTTCTCTTATGGTCTGGTTTGATGCTACCTCACCTGCTTAGAGCATTTTTTCCCCTTACTGTTGCTATTGATAATCCCTATCTCCTGAATAAAAATTTTTCTTTCCTTGATGCCTGGTCTCTGCTGGAACCAGAAAGCTGGAAGGGACCTTGCTGAGCCCTATTCACTGCTTTCAGCAAACAGTTCATTACTTTATCTATCACGCACTCTTGTCATATGACCAAATGACCTTAGTGCAATCTCTTCCTTTTTTAAGGAAGGAAACGGAGGTCCTCAGAGACAGAGTTGCTCTTTGATCTGAGTCAGCTTTAACCCCATGGCTGTTTAGTATCTCACAAACAACCAGAATCAGGTGAAATAACAGGCACTCTCAACATAATTAGAGCAAAGATCACACATTCTGAGACAAGAAATGGGGCATTTGCTCCACACAAAAAGATGATTTAAAATGTAAGGTATCTAAGGAATCAGTTAAGTTAAAAGAGAACCACTAGCAATTATTTCTGAGAATGCAAGGAGGATTGGTGAGGTTAGAAAAGGGTGACTGTAGCTTTTAGCGGGCCCAGATTTCTCAAGTTCAAAAGCAGCTATCATTTGGTCTCTTATCTTACACTGACAGCCTGAAAGGCAGCAATTTATAGTGTAAGGGATGAAGATTTTTGTATCTGACACTCTTGGGTTTATGGTAGTATCTTTTCATATGTATCATCATGGTTATTTCTAATGTTTCATCACTACCATCATCATCCCATCCCAAATGCTGGTCTACTCCTGTTCCAGTCCCTAAGATTTGCAGCAACACCTGACCGACTTGTGTGCTTTCCTAAGTACATCCTGGTCACTGGGGAATCCAGGTAGCCAGCACAACTCTGAAGAACTCAGCACTCAAAATTCTAAAGCAGCTGAATCAGGCATAAAACACCCCGTTGGGGATTTGGGGTGCTGTCTACTGAGCTCTATGGCAGAAATCAAGTAAGGATGATGCTACAATAATAATACCTTGCTTATATACTGGGATTTGTGCCTCATCATCCCATTTATCCTCGAAGACTAAGGCTCAGAGATGCCAAATGCCTTATTATGGGCCACAGAGTCAATAAGGGGCAAAAAAGAGCCCAAGTCTCAATTCTCAAGCCATGATTCTATCCTTTGTAATGCGAAAGCCTCATTGAATGCCAAGGCTTAGCTACCACTTCTGCAGATAATTCTCCCTTCCAAGAGCTCAGCAGCCATTAAGAAGTATAGCTGTCAACTCTTGGTCACTTAACAAGCATACTTACAATCTCGCTCTGAGGG